TTGCAGATGGATGTGGACACAAATGAGATTCATTAGGTCTTTTCTGAGATTCAGGTGAACGGAGTTTCTACTTTGAGCCACAATTCCTGTGAACATCATCAGGGAACTTGTTCTGTGGCACTGGGGGCCGTATCCCATCCTGTAAGGAAATGAAGGAATTGATGCCTCAAACATTTGACACAGAAATCCTCAAGGACAAGCTATGAGCTTTGTGATTAGTCTAAGGAACGCTGCCCAAGGAACTGAAGACTGTATCGATGGATGCGCGTCCCCACTTCCTTGTTGTACTGCCAAGCTCCTTAGTTAAGCCTCTAAGGGCTGAAACATGGACTGAGTGAAACCAGGTTGTTGTGGTTTAAGCCCAGAGGGCAACTGAGCACCATGCAGCTGTTCACTCACCCCTTCCCCCCCCTCCCCACGCCCCCCCCCCCCCCATCAGGAATGGGAAGGAGAAAAGGAAGCAAAATGGCTCAGGAATCCAGATATGGCTCACTGATAACAGTCACGGGCAAAAGACAGACTTTTTAGAGGAAGAAAAGAAAACATCACTTTAATTCACATGCTAACAAAGACAACACTCAACAGACAAGGTGGGACAGTGAGAAGTCCCAAGACATTCAAAAATGACCTCCCCCAGCCCTCCCTTCTTCCCGGGCTCAGCTCTGCTCCCCATCTCTCCACCTCCTCCCCCAGCTCTCTGCTCCCTCTCGGGACGGTGGAGTGAACTCCGCACATCCCTCCCCTGCTCCACGGGGCTCCGCTCTCACTGCGGACAGTCCTTGAACCTTCCTCGGTGTGAGTCCTTGCCACGGGTCGCAGCCGTTCCAAAGCTGATCCTGCGTGGGTCACTCCCACGTGTCGCAGTCCTCCCAGCACCAAACTACAACAGCGGGGGCTGCTTCTCCCCTCAGAGTCCAGGCTTATTTTAAGTGCAGCCACCTGTCCTGGTGTGGGCTTCTCCACAGGGTTCAGGTCGGCCTCTAGTCCATTGCAGACCTCCACGGGTGGCAGGGGTGGTGGCCCTGCTAGCTCCCCACGGGACACAGGGGTCTCTGCTCCGGCACACCTCCCCCACTTCCTTCCCCTTCCTTTCACTACCTGGGTGTTTGTCCTTCTCACAACTCCTCCTCACAAGTCCCCACACCCTCTCAGGTTCCTTTTCTTAAACACGTTATTATCGCAGAGGCACAGCCATCATCACTGATTAGCTCGGCCCTGGCCAGAGGTGGGTCTGACTCGGAGCCGGGGGAGGTTCAAGAAGCTTCTCACAGGGGACCACCACTGTAGCCCCCTCCCCTGCTACCGAAAACCACACCACGGAAAACCAGCACATGTATGTTTGGGTTAAAAGATTGATAAGAGAGATAAATAACCAGCATCAGATGGACCTAAGCAAAAACAGAGGCGGGGGGGATACGATGAGCATGACCATTGACTCAGCTGGACGAGGGGGTTGGTGCACCTCATTTCCCCTCAGTGCATGCACAGAACGCACGCTCCACACCTTTTCCTCGTCTCTCATGGAACTGAGTTTGTGGAATACCTGCCTCTCTTGATCTAGTATGCTAGTCAGCTGGTAAGATGAACTTAAAAGGCGACAGAAAACTTTGCTGGGTGTGCACCCACCACCCAAGATTACTGGACCTGAGACAATGCTGGAACTTGGGGTGGTGATCTGGATACTTCGACTATCTTTCTCTCCTTTCTCTTCTTTTCCTTTCTTTTCTTTCTTCTAGATTTATCAATAAGAGACCCCATTGCTTACTATCCTTTTCCAAGTTTAAGCTGTTTCTACTGCAAGTAAAACATTTTAACTAGTCGTCTGGTGTTATTTCACCTTAATTTAACCCAGGGGGATCACAGAAACTTTACGACTCCCTGAGCTCCCAGTCCAGATCGTAACATTTAATTGGCGTCATGGACAGGATCCCCTTGGTGTTAAAGAAACTGTTGGGACCAGGCATTCACTGTAGCCCCTCTCTGAGAGGAGTCATACAAAAAGGTGGGGGGAACAGCCCTCTGAGGTCTGACAAGGGATCTGATTCCTGTAGTTGTAGACTCGTTATGGCCCCCACTGGGAGGTCTGATTGTAGGCTTATTATGATCTCCCTTGGAGGTCCAATTTTAGATTGTACCCTTCTCCTGGAGAAATGAGAGAGCTATAATGCTCGACCTTCTCCCGCTGGTATGACTTGGGCCCATAACAATTGGCATGATCTGCAAGTGGTACTGGATAGAATCTCCACTCTAGATAAAGATCAGAGATTTAAACTAGGAAAAGGAAAAAAAGTGGTCTGTGCAGTTTTAGGAGCCACGCTGCTGTCAGCACAACAGGATAAATACATGACCCAGCAGGCAGAAGGGGAGGCAATAAAATCCCTTCAAGATCTGGTGAAGGCTTTGCAAGGACAATTAGAAAATGAGATAAGAAGCTTCTTTGATCAACTTGCCACTGAGCGACTGATTAACCAAAGGTTACATACTGCTTTAACAGAGGTTTTGGAGCAGGAGAATATACTAAGGGGGTGATTAGATGAAACCCACTCCCAAATCAGTGTAGAAAGTATGGATGCAGTATCTGACAGTGGAAAAGAATCAAAATCGTTATACACTGTTAAAGACCTAGAGCGTATATGAGAAATATATTCCCTTGAGGGGGGAGAGGCTGTTATGCGGCCATTGATTAAAACTGAGACTGTCAATGATGGTCAGGGAGGGGCCCAACAAGTCACCACCTGAACTGTCCCCTACTCCCCCCGATTTGGCTAAAATTCTGGAAGAATATAGCTGGGGACCCTGAGAAATGGAAACTGAATATGTGTGGAGAGTATCTCTTACCAGGGCTGACCATATCTTGCTGAGTGAAGATGAGGCAAGAGGGTATTGGGGACTGGAGGTTTTTATAACCACCAATGACAAGAGAGCCCTGGTCCCTGACTCAGAGAGTAGCATATAGGGCTGGAGGATTAGACCCTATGGAAAGGAGAAACCCTTTCCAATAAAGACTCTGACAGCAGGACGTATTCTAGAGAGCGTACAAAAGGCTGCATGTCTCCAGCTAATGCATGACCGGTTATTAATTCTGCAACATCCCTCTCCTATGCAAGATCTGGCAGATCTTGATAAATTGCTTCCTCTCATAAGGGGACTTCCCAATGCCTTGAAATTATACACAGTGCAATTACAAGATCATCTGAGAACACCCCGACCCCAGAGATGGGGGGGTCCCCCACAGATGACATGGGGAGAAGTAGCACAGGATACATACCTATGGACAGAGGGCATTTCAAAGGGGATTCCCTGGGAGGTGGTGAATGGATTACCCACTCTCAATCCGGAAAGTCTGGTGAAAGGCTGGGACAAAATAAAGGGTACTCCATCTCTCTCAAACCCCAGAGATCTTTCTCTCCTACCCTGGGAACTCAGAACTGTAACCCTGTCAGCTCTCAGGGAGACTGAGTTGATTGATTTAAATGTTCCTAGGTGGGGAAACAGGACACACTGTCCTCAGTAAGTGTGCTGGAGGATGGCAGATGCGTCCACGTAAGGAGGCTCACAGAAAATAGTAAGGGAGACTTGTTGATTACCTTTCCCCTTGGCCCCCTTAAAACTCCAGTTACACTTCTAGAAGGAGTTCCCATGGTACTTCAGATACATCAGCCACCTGATAACCAATCTGATCAGGAAATCCCCTCTTTCCCTTATAAAATCAGTTCTTCCATTTGAACCTTACCTGAGGAATGTGTTGTTTACTGATGCATCCCCAAAAAAGAGAAGGGAAGGTATGGAAATACTGGGCAGTAGCCTTACATGTTGATTCAGGGGAGCAGCACGTAACAGAAGGGGAGGGAAGTGCTCAGGTAGGGGAACTGATTGCAGTTTGGAGTGTGATAAAAAAGGAAGCCGAGAACAAAGAACCAGTGTTTATTTATACAGATTCCTATGCTGTATTTAAAGGATGTATGGAATGGCTCCCTTTCTGGGAACAAAATCAGTGCCAAGTCAACTGAGTACTCTGTGGCAAAAATTGGGACGAAATCTTAAATGTTGCCAAACAGGAGACTCTCCTGGTGGGATGGGTAACTGCCCACAAAATGGGGAATCCCAAGCCCACATCTGGAATAATCAAGTAGATTTGTTAACCTGCTTAGCTACAATGGCAGCAGAAGCTGATGGAGAAAAGTGGGAACATCTGTTAGAGTGTTTGCATGTGAAATGTGGTCACTCAGGGGCCAAAGATCTTTTCAAAGAAGTTGGTGGCAGGGGTTGGCCTGTTACTCCAAAACTGTGCATCATGATTATTTCTGCTTGTAGTCAATGTTACACACAATTAGAAAGACACCCCTTGCAAGACCTCCCTCTCCGCTTGCAGGACGGGAAGGGCCTCTGGGAGGCTTGGCAAATTGATTATATAGGGCCCTTTAAAATATCAAACAGGAAGCAGTATGTTCTTGTAGGAGTGGAAGTAGTATCAGGGCTTACCCAGGCTGAGGCTGTTACATGGGCAACTGGAGAGAATACAGTAAAAGGGCTGAAACTGTGGTTTAGTCACTTATCAAAACTTCAGTCAATTCAACTGGACAATGACAGCCACTTTACTGCAGTGGGAATGGGCAAAATGAGAAGGAATACAATGGGTATTTCCCTACTACCCACAAGCTAATGGGATAGTAGAGAGAGCAAACTGATTACTGAAATGAGCTCTTAAACCTCATGATGCAGGGTGGCCTACCCAGCTCCCTGATGCAGTCACCAAAGAGTTGCTGGGGAGCAAATGGGTGCCCCAGACCCACTGCTTTTTGCCCCAGGCCTCCCTCTCTACTTCCTGGGAAGAAGGACCAGAAAGACTTGTCAAACCTGCTACATTATCCTGGACAACCAGTTTTAATTGACCTCCAGAGAGTAGGGGAGGTACCCCTAACCCTGAAGACACTGCTCAACTCATATGCCTGTGTAGCCACCAATGCCCATGGAAAGGAACACAGAATTAACACCTAATGGACTGTTCCATCCTTTTAATGTGTTCTGTGATTTTACATATTTTGCAGATCCATCACAGAAACTTCTTTGTCTCATTATGTATATATTAATACCCTTGTTTTAACTTGCATGTCCTTTGTATGCATGCCTTGTAGAATTAGAGAAAAACAGAGAAGGATGGCAAGGGATCCATATTAAGCCTGGCTATATCAATTGTTATTTGCACCACTGGTTTATTGTTATTTGTAATTTTTGTCTGTTGTTCTAGGGAAAGATGCTTTGGAGAGCCTTCTCCCTCATCCTCATCCTTACCATTGGTGGACAGTGAAAATATCTTCCAAATTTAGCCTGGAATTTGATCCAAGGTTTTATGTAAGGGATGAGCCCCAAGTGACTGAAGTCACTGCACTGTATGCCCCCTCCCTTGACCAGAGCAGAGACACAAAATGGTTTCAGAGACACAAAATGGAAGTTGCAGTGAGTCATTTCTCTTGACTGGCCAGTGTCTCAACCACTCCTGAGACCGGGGTGAGAGAAGGTTCCAGAAGTCCAGGAACTGGGGCTATAAAGAGGGGACTCTCCACACCTAACACCCCTGTTGACAGGTCCAATGCTGGATCCAGGATTGCGATACATCTCTCTCGTCTCTTCTTAGTAACCTTAAAGCCAAGTAACGCCAGGCTGAATTGATTTCCCGTAAAGCCACATAGCTTGGATAAATATAGTTGTGAAAGTGCCAGCATTTACAGAGTATTTGTTTACTAATCATGTAACAAGATAAATAGGCTGTAGTTCCTTTGGGTGATGCGCTAGCTTTGTGGAATTACCACCTAGCACCCATCTCTGCACAGACATTGCATAAAAGAAATACCTTGACCCTGTGCGTATTGGCTTGCATACCAGGTGAGAGAACACTTCTTTTGGGATAACATTTTGGTGACCCAGGTGGGATGGCCACAACATCTTGCCCAGATCGCCTGATCAATCCTGGCTCTGGGATTAGCAGTTTGGACTCCAGCATGCACTGACCCGCTTGGTTGGGGATCTCCTGACAGCCTTCCATAGTACCGGAATGACCAGCAACTTGAAGATGCAATGCCTAACAGAGGTATTCCAGGAAAAAGGAGGGGAGAGCTTGGGATTTTTGGGTCAAGGTGCCACTTTTTCAGAACAAGAAAAGAAGGTAAAAATTATTTCTTCTAGGTGGGCCTTCATGTCCTGAATTAAAGATGTTCTGATGTAAAGCAGCTTATCAGAATGTATTCGCACAGGGTACTGTACCCCACTAGCTTGATTCTAACAAGCATATCAGTTAAGGTGCAAAAGTCAGCCCCAACCCTCTACTACAGTGCCAACACCATAGCTGCTTGGTTGTTTGCATGTTTGTGTTGAAATAATCCTTGTCGCTTTTGTATTTCTGACTGGTGATGCTGTGCTGACCTCTCACGGTTTCTTGGGGAGGGTACATGGACTCTGGAAGCTTGGCAATAGACCATGTTTGAGTTCTTACAGAAGCACCTAGGCCATCTGGCACTTAGGAAAACCGTTGGCTGGTGGATAATATTGCAGGCAGGGCAGAAGGAGGGATGCCATGCAGGAGCAAGAGGTCGCTATTTTCTCTGCACAGTTTCCATTATGAAGGATGAAGAATGATGTTTAAAGCTCCTTCATCACTGCTAACTGATTCTTTGTGGATCCTTCACCACAAGGTTCAGGCAATGCTCCTATGGCTGGTCCAACTGAAATTTATTGGCATTTTCACACACAATGAGCTCATTCTGCAGATCTGAGGATGCTTCAGTGTATTTTGAGCAGAGCTGTTCCAGTCAAGAGAGCTTGAAGTTTCATTTGCATGAGCACCTTGAAGGGGGTGTCTCACACCTCTTGGATGGACACTTCCAGTCTTGACTGCAGGCAGTACTACTTGATGTTCCCTAAAACCACTGCATTTTGCAGGTGGATCAGAAGCCCACTGTGAGACTAGTGTTTTCAGTTATTGAGGGCCATTCCTTGCACTGTTTGACTGATCTTACTAGGCCTGGTTTTATTCTTTACTTTGGAAAAATGGTGCAGGAGAAGATTATATTCTTACTTTGTGGATGTATAATCTTGTCTCAATCAACTAGGAATTCGGATAAGCAACCCAACTTGGCATGGGAACTGATTACTGGTTTTGCTCAAATATGGAATCAGACAGAGCAAGGTCTCTGTGTGGATCTCCCCATGTCCACATCAGCGGGTTTCAAATTTGCATGAGTTTTGCATTAGAAACTAAAAATGTTAAATCAAACGTATATTACGTTGGTGGGACCCCCTATCTCATGGTGAACCCCTATAATGTTCTGCTATCCCCAGGTTGGTGTATTCAAATTCCTAACAAATGGGGTGGTTATGCTCACCATGACTGCTTTCATTATGAATGTGCTTGGTGCCTTAAACATTTTTTGTAATCGATGATTATTAGTTGTAGATCATTAAGAAGTTCTATTTGAGATACGTGCACTTGTTGGGGTTATCCTAATTTTGGATACCTAATCAAGACACATTTTGTAATCAAATGATGTGATCATGAAACTCATGAAATGGAATATATGTATTAACAGAAAGTGTTAATGGAAAGGCAAAGTAAAAGAACTGTTGTAAAAGTTGTGAAATAGGAAAAGAATGTGAAAAGAAGTATGTTGAGGAGCTTGGGGAAGATGGCTCGTAAACATTAGATTTATGATTTTGTCAGTATTTTTGCAATAGTGATAGGTATTGCTATAGTGAATGTACGCTCTCTCATAGTTCCCTCTCTTCCTCTCTCTGTTCAATATATCTGCATTACCACCCTTGATGATGACTACCTTGAAGTTTCACCGAATGTTTGAGTCACAGGGTGGTGCAAGGAACAGAAGGCATTAATACCTCAAACATTCATCAACATGGAAAGCCTCAAGGATAAGCTGTGGCCTTTGTGATTAGTCTCAGGAACACTGCCCAAAGAAGCGCAGAGTGTATCAAGTGATGCACGTCCTCACTCCCTTGCAGTTGTACTGCCAAACTCCTTAGATAAGCCTTGAAGAGGGGAAACATGGACTGAGTGAAACCATATGTTTGGGTTAAAAGATTAATAAGAGAAATAAACAGCCAGCACCAGATGGACCTAAGCAAAAACAGAGGAAAAAATAAAGGGGGGTGAGGTGGAGTGTGAGCACAACCATTGACTCAGCTGGACGAGGGGGTTGGTGCACCTCATTTCCCCTCAGTGCATGCACAGAACGCACGCTCCACACCTTTTCCTCGTCTCTCATGGAACTGAGTTCGTGGAATACCTGCCTCTCTTGATCTAGTATGCTAGTCAGCTGGTAAGATGAACTTAAAAGGCGACAGAAAACTTTGCTGGGTGTGCACCCACCACCCAAGATTACTGGACCTGAGACAATGCTGGAACTTGGGGTGGTGATCTGGATACTTCGACTATCTTTCTCTCCTTTCTCTTCTTTTCCTTTCTTTTCTTTCTTCTAGATTTATCAGTAAGAGACCCCATTGCTTACTATCCTTTTCCAAGTTTAAGCTGTTTCTACTGCAAATAAAATATTTTAACTGGTCTTCTGGTGTTGTTTCACTTTATTTTAACCTGAGGGGATCACAGAAACCCATGACTCTTTGGGGTCCGTCTGGGTCATAACACATCCCCCTGGCTGCAGAAGGAAGGCAAACTCACCCATATGGCCACAGCAGATTTACTGTCCTGCTCCTGACTTATATCTGATCTGATGCCCACTATGGCCCCAAACAGCCCCAACCATATGAATTGCTTTGTCCTCTATTTTGCCCCCATTTCCCCCTGCCATATGAACAACCCACCCCAGTTATTTCCCCTTACCACTTGGTCCCCCACAGGTTCAAGTTTTGATGATTTTGCACCCCTGTTTGGCAATTACAGCCTTGGTGAGTGATCCCAGTCAGGCAGCACTACCCTTAGGCACCCTCCATCCAGGGCAGGTCTGACCCTACCTCTCACCCCTTTGGTTGTTTCTTGCTCTGTTTGCTCAGCCCTGGGTGGGGGCTGGCCCCATTTTAGCCTCTCCACTCTCTGCAAAGCCTGGTAGTCAATCCTCCATTTAACCTCACGCCATCTGCCTGCAACTTTCCACTAATGTCGTGAATGGTGGTATTTTCCTATGTTTCAACTGCCCCCACGGTTGCTGCAGCATCTAAGGTGACTTTCACAGCACATGTTGGAGACAGTCTCTTTTCACTGGCTTTCACATGCATCTAGGAAACATGCCACTACCACACTCCTTGTGAGCCTATGGATACTTTGCTCTTCTTTGTCAGGCCAGGTTAGGTGCGGAGCTGGGAGAGAAATAGTTTGGAAGCGGCACACAGGCGAAATCACCTTTAGAGAGCAAAGGTCTTTGTCTTTTAAAAATAGTTAGGGTCATGAAAAAAGAACATGTGCTATCCAGATCATTAGCGTGGGACAAAGCCAGGCCCCATGAAGAAGGGGAGCTCAGGATGTATTGAACAAGCACAGTGACATCTTCACACATCCTCCACATTGGACACTGATTGGATTACAGGATTGCTGAAGACTGGTCAAACCATCACATGAGATGATCCAGCTGTGCTGATAAAATCTTTCCCGGGTTGCTTTCTCTTAATGAAAATAACCGTGTCTGGATGAAAGGTCTGAGCGACAAGAACAAATAACTTCAGGGTAAAGTTGCCGAAGAAGAAGTCATTGCCTCACAGGTTCATTTTTTTTTTTGCCTTCTGAGAACCTTGAGGCTTCTTCTAACCTCCTCAGGCTAGGGACAGTCTCTGGAGCTGTGTACTGACACAGTGCTTACTAACAGCTTTTCACTGTGGTACTTTTGTTCCTCATACCACATCGTCTTCATGTTTGCAATCGTCATACTGACCAGCTTCCTGCAAACCATCACATGCCAGAGAAGATGCTATGCATCTGTAAAGTTCCCTTCATTCTCTCACACCAAGGTAGCCAAGTCTGTCTTCTTTGATGTCAACTCCACATAATGCAGAAGGGCAATCCGGGATTCTGGTGTACCTTGTACCTGTCTACATCTAAAGTTAGGGGAGATGAATGCCTTCAGAGAGGACAAAAGACATTTAACGCACGGTAGCATTCACAGCACACGCTAGAGGAGCAATTACCTATTGTCAGTCACCACTGAGAGATATTTTAATGGGAAAAACCTGTAGAGCCTTGCTCCCTCCCTAGTACTCCCCAAGCATGTTCTGTACCAGATGTGGTTCATCTCTTCATTTGTATCACAGCTCAACCTGCTTGGATGCTACTTCTAAGAAGCACCCACGCATGAGATTTCTATAAGCTTTTCATGACAAGATGTTGTTGGTTGCCTGGAAGTTTGCCAAACTGAAATTACTTGAGCTGCCCATGTTAGACACATCCATCAGGCTGGTTTAAAAAGACACTCTGAACTGAACAAAACCCCACAGGTAAAATAGTCCATACATTTCAAATAATGAGTCAAGGGAAACTATTTCCTCATGAAAAAAACAAATTCTGCCAGTTAGTTACCTTGTTAAGAAGCCTGTACACCTTTTCATGTTGGCAGAGGCCACTAAAAATGGCATATAATCACAGCTCAGAAAGAAGGAAGCCTCCAGACTTGGGTCCTTTTCAGCATCCCTGTGGAAAAACATCCAACCTAGGCTAAACTGTACATCTCTGACAAATAATCGGTTCATGCCATTCATAACTCTTCCAAGCTTGTCAGCTAAATTATTTTAAGACACCACCATTGCTCCTCTTGTACTAGCTTCTCATGGGCTCCTCTGCACCTCATTCTCACAGACACAGAGTATTTTCTGTGTTAGGCCTGAGGTGGTGAAGTAATACTATACTGACATTTTACATTTTTTTTCATGTCTGTTAATTCCATTCTTTGCTTAGCTCATTAATCAAAGCTGGACTCGGGACAGGGGGAGCCTGCCTGGTAGTGGAGGATCCTTACCATCCACCATTCTGCTGTCAGTTTCACGGTTGTCACTTCAAGATGTCTCTCTGCCCTCATCTATTCTTATCCTTTCCACTCTCCTGCAAACTCATTAACAAACTCTTCTGACAGCCAGTGTCTCACTGATAATGGTACCTAGACAGAAATAATTAATTTAAATCCATGGTGTGACTTTCCCTGGAGACAAAAAAGTGAGAGGCTGACACTTGTCACTATGGAAAAGGTCTCTGAACTTTTTATGCCAGTGTCTCCTCTACACATTTAGCAACTAGTATTTGAACATCTTGGTCTGTATGTCTTGTCAGGACTGACTCGCCGAGTGCTCATTAAATGACTGTTCCAGAGAGAAGAAAGGCAGGATTTAGGTCTCCCAACATAGGAGAAAAAGATATTTTCGTGAACAGAGGTCTCGCTTCATAACTCCTTTGCATTTAGTCAGGAAATTGCTCGGCTACTTGACATGAATGACAGAGAGGCTTGACAGATGTGACAGTGAGCACAAGAAACAGGTCTACCCCAGCCCACATAAGGCAGACCCCCTTACTAGGAAAAGCCAGGGGGAAAACACTTCCTTCTTCTAACTTCTTGACTTCACGGCATGTACTCTTGTACTGTCTTGAGTTGGCACTGAGATTCAACTCATACCCAAGAAAAGGCAGAATGTTTTGGTGAATAATGCAGCTCTTCTCTGTGAGTGAGAGGCAAGCTCAATTTCAAGAAGAATACGTATGGTGTTTTGAGGGAGTAGTGTATTTCATGGCAGGAAGTTTCCATTCTGTACAGGGAGATAATCAGAGCAAATCACACAGCAGAGTCAGTGAGTGTGTGGCACAACATGGAGGAATGAACCGAAAAGCTGTGAGCTAACATGATGATTTCACAGCCTGTTAACTGAATTCCTTCTATAATTCAGGGCAATGGAAAAGAGATCCATGCAACTTTAGGTTACTGGGGCCTGTAACTACACTCAAACTTCTTCAGAGAAGTATCTCAAAAGTGAACACTCGGTAGAAAAACAGCACAGACTTTGAACATCTGCAACTTCTGTCACAACATATACAGAGGACCTTGTACCCAAAGATAGTGTTGGATGCTATTTTTTCCTTATAGAAAAAGGAAGGATAAAGGAAGGACCAGTACATCCTTGAGAATTACTGGTGATGCTCTCAGATCTATTTTCCACTGCCTGCAGTGATTATTTCACTCTGACAGTGAAAACCTCATTTATACAACGCAAAGGTTTACATTTCTTCATGTTCATAAACACAGAATAAAGCCACTAACAGTTAACTTCGGAAACCTCATAGGGGTGTGGAAAAGATACTTTGCTACACTCATGGCACTTGTCTGGTGCAGAATACAGTACCTACCACTACGGCGACTCACCCATTAAGTTCTGGCTTGGAAGTCTAGTTTCTGAAAAATTAGGGGAGACAAAAAATAACTCTCGATTCAAGGCCCACACAGGTGTTAGAAGCAGTTATCTCCAATTTTCAGAACAAGAGCCACATAAATAAACTGTTCAACGACCTCAGGCTATGGCCCAGACTCCAGTAGAAAGAGGCTTAGAAAAATATGTCAGACTAAGGACCCAGTAAACACTATACACAACTGCATGGGAACTCTCACTCCCCAACCTAGAAACACAAAATTTGACCATTGTGGAATCAAAAGACTAGTTTTAGAAGGGAATTTGGGCGTTATTTCAGATTAAGAAACTCAGCCACGGGTTAAAGAAGAGCAGTGCAGTTTGCCTCAAGCTCCACATGTACAGGCTGGACAAATCACCAATCCACAGATCATTTATTAGGAAAGTTATGTGCACCAGAACAAACTACTGCTTTCAGCTGCAACAAGAACCCCTCAAGGGTGAGAGGGTATTGTCTGTGACACTTAAGAAGTGAGACTTGTGCCTGTTCATATAAGATGGCTGCAGAGACCCTGATACTGAACAGGAACTCAAGGAAATGGTGCTGGTAGCAGATAGAAAAAAGAGGAAGTTACCTGTCATAATCAGTGTAACAGAGATCTGTAACTATTTAAACAAAGTTTGGAGAGAGAGTTTCCAAGATAAAACAGTCACCCCAAAAGAGGATAAACATGGATTTCCAGTGGGAAGACTTCCATCTCAAAAGCACTGAGGAACTCGGCACTTTGCAGCAGCAGTACGTGGGCAACAAGAGCATATCATCTCTCCATCCACTGACAGACAGGTTTCCACCAAAGAATAGTTCTGCTGTGGCCAAGCGTAAAGCTGTGGTGTGATCCAAATGCTGTTTTGCAAAAGGTAAATTAATGTCATTAGCCCTTGGGATAATGCCTGGCAGCTCAGAGGGCCAGTGAACAATGATATAAGCCTTTCAAGACTTGGGCAAGAGAGACCAAAAAGCAGAAGTCAGAAACATATCTGAAACCTACTTCAGAATGGCTATGGACACTGCAAGAATTAAGTTTTTGTTTCACTTTTGTCAAAGATGATGAAAAAGATGTGGAATTCAACACCACCAATGGTGGGATGGAAAAGAGTAATTTTCTGCCTGGGACTTGCCAAATAAGAGGAAACTGCAATATACTGGTCTTCTCCCAAGGGCCAGATGGAAAGGACTGGCATCCAGCCAGCCAGTCCCAGGAGCAGGTCAGATCCCACATGAACAGCAGGAAGGTGTCCAACTGCTCTGTTCCAGAGCACTGCAGCACTCTGCTGATGTTGTCAACCTCTCCAACGTCTTACCTTCCTGAAGGTAAGATCATGAGACAAAGTTCCTGTTAGGAAAAGAGGATACGCAGAGGACCAAAGATGGCAAGGCTGACAAGACACACAAGTTCAGGGTCGTGTTGCTTAGATACACGTACCTGGGTACTTATTTTGCCCTTACACTGCTGAGATTTATATTGCTTTTGAACATCTGGTTCTGCTCCTGACTGCAATATGATGAAATAAAAGCTGAGAACAATAGATGATGCTACAATTTTTAAAAGATTCAAGTAGTTAAGTTATATCCTGTCATAAACTTAATGACATCTAAACACAGTTGATGTCAGTAATTTTCCTAATTATTTCATAAAGTTCTCATGTTCTGCTGTGCGTAGCTTTTCAGAAGTAAGGCCTGAGTTACTGCACACACACATGCAGTGACTCTTTGATGACTACACATACACACAGAGCAATCCCCATCAACAGGAATGACACAATTTGCTGGCTTGAAGGAATCTTTAGACCTGAACAGGTTGAACTGAGGATGAACAGAACTAAATGTTGTGCTGGGAAGTGAAGTTCTCGGGTCAAAGCTGTAGACTCAGCTGTGGCTTGCATACCCACTGGGGACCCATTTCACACAAAGGCACAGACCAGAAGGTATTACAAACAAAACAGGAGGCAAGCAACACAAATCTGAAGCTTGGACTTTAGCCATTCACCAATCACAATTAACAGCTCGTTAAATTTAACTTTTCACCACATAGCTTGGATACAGCACATCAGTTTCTGCATAGATTGAATTCCTTCAGATTTCTGATCTTTAGTTCAAATTCCTATTATTCCAGGCATAGGAGATGTAGTCATCCTGTTTTAAAGTTACTTTCAGAAGGAGAATTTGCTGTTTTTCCACTGGGCAACTCAGCGTTCAGCAAAGTATTTACTGCCTTCAGGATTCCCAGGTTCAGCCCATGGTTTAGAGGGGGGGCAAGATGAGCGCAGGATACAAGGATGGCCCCACTTTCTTCAATCCCTTCGGATTGTGAGATGAATCAAAGACACAGGATTGAAGCAAGAATATTTATCACTGGGTACACCCTCCCTGTTATCATCTTTTATTAAGTATAGGAGCATTCAGCCGCTTCTCCTTAATGACTTCCCAGATCCTTCACCAGCTGCGGGCACTGCCAGCTGCAGGAGCCGGAGAGCCGTTGAAATCCGCACGCTGTCTCGCAGGCCGGAGGCCGCCGGTCTCCGGGCGGGTTCCCGCGGCGGGGTCTCTCCATCTGGCTGCGCCTCTCTGACAGAACCGCGCTCCGCTCCCACCGCTCCGGGATGAGGGGAAGCTTCTCCCGCTCCACCCCGGCGCCCGAAATTGACCGTTGGGTAAACCCGCCGAGCCCCGCTCGCCGCAGCCCCGCTCCCCCCCCCCCCCCCCCCGAGGGGCGCCCGGCCGGGCGGGCGGCACAGGGCCGAGGCCCGGCCCCTCCCCACTCCCCTGCGGGAGCGCGGCCGCTCCTGGGCGGCCTGGATTCCCCTCCCCGCCCGTGGGGGGCGGCGGCTGTTCCCACGCCGCGGAGGCGCTCGAGCCCGCTGCGGCGGGGCCTGAGGAAGGGGGGGGGTGTGTGTGTGTGTGTGGGGGGGGGGTGGGGGTGTGTGGGGTGTGTGTGTGTGGGGGGGGGGGGGGGGGTGGGGGTGTGTGGGGTGTGTGTGTGTGGGGGGGGGGGGGGGGGTGGGGGGGAGGTGGGGGTGTGTGGGGGGGTGTGGGGGTGTGTGTCTCGTGAGCGGCCGCGGGGCCCGCACGCGCTGTACTCACCCTCTCCCATCCGCACCGCGCCCGTCACGCGGCCGCGGAGGGGCCGCAGCGGCCCGCGCCATGGCTCTCCCGTCACGTGCCGCGGCCAGACCAATAGGCGGCGAGCGGCTCGGCCCCGCCCCGGCGGGCGGGGGTGGCTGCGGGCGGCGGCGGGGCGCGATCGCAGTCGCGGCGGAGACAAAGCGGGGCCGGGAGGGGGGGGGGGGGGCGGCGGCGGCGGCGATCGGGGGGGGGGGGCGCGACCCGCTGACGGGGGCGGCGGCCGCGGCGGGCTCCCCGCGCCTGGCGGTGGTTCTGCTGGCGGGGGCGGCGCGGGGGGGGGGGGGAGACCTCGAGGCGCGCGGGGCTGCCCGACGCCCGCGAGGCGCTGGCCGGGCCGGGCCGCCGCCGCCATGGCCCTGGGCAATTACAGCAGCCTGAACCGGGCCCAGCTCACCTTCGAGTACCTGCACACGAACTCGTGAGTACCGGGCAGGGCTGCGGCGGGGCGGGGCCGCGGCCCGAGCCCCCCGGGGGGCGAAGCTGCCCCCCCCCCCCCCATTGCCGCCGACCCGCACCGCTCCCGGCGGCCGCGCAGGGCTGACGCTGTCCTGTGGGCGGGCCGGTGGTTTATAGGGAATAACGGTGCGTGGAGCGGACAGGGCTCGGGGCGGGGGGGGGGGTGCGTCACGGGTGGAGGCGGGTGTAACCTCTAAGTCAGCCCTACTCTTCCGGCGGCACCTCTCTGGAGAAGCGTGCCTGCAGGGCTCTCGTTCCTCCACAGCACCTCGTTTCATTTGTGCCCAAATATTTTGTGCGGGTATATTCAAGCGGGAATGTGATACTCTTCTTCCGATAAGCTTTTTGAAGCTGCTGTGGCTTTTACGTGTCATAGATTGACCTGGGTTCATCTAGGATAGAGTTAGCTTTCACAGGAAGCTGGAAGGGGACACAGCTAGGACAGCTAACCCGATTTAGCCGACGGGATATTTGATAACATATGACGTCATGCTCAGTGTATAAACCGGGGGAGCTGCCCAGAGGGAGGAAGGATTGTGGCTCAGGAATGGGCTGGGCAATGGGTTCCTGCATTATACATCACTCCCTTTGTATATTCTTTTACTAGTATTACTGTTATTATTTCTTCTCTCCTTGTGTTGTCCTATTAAACTGCCCTTATCTCAAACCATGAGTTTTTACCTTTTTCTTCGGATTCTCCTCCCCATCCCATGGCGGAGGGAGGAGTGAGCGAGCAACCGCATGGTGCTTCGTTACCAGCTGGACCTAAACCATGACAGTGATGAATCCCCCAAAATCTGAGAAGAGGCAAAGTTCTTGTTTAAGATGGGTTCCTTCTGAGTGCACATCTAGAAAATGGGAAGTGCCACCAGGAAAAGGTGCTTAGCAGGGTTAAGCACCCATCTGAGACCTGCCTACTGCACATAAGCCTAGTAGGGCCACATACAGAAGAGTTTAAAGAGCTTGTTCTGGCTGAACTGCCCTGGCAGAACAGTGTGAACTTCACTTGGCATTTCTTCAATTTGATCAGCTGGTCACCGGCATAAGATGATCTTCTAGTGTTTTCTGGAAGAGTTTACTCTTACTGTTACCATCAATAAAAGAAAAAATGAAGCGCAGGTTTATCTTTTCACTTTCTCTTTTCAATGTGTGAAGAACTGCAGTGGTCTGCAGCAGTCTAAAGACTTCTGATGCATGGAAATATGGCCAACTTGATCTTAAAGTAGATCTGGCTGGTTTTGTTGATAACGCAAGATGCATTTTGCAAGAGCAGCTAAGAGGAATCTCCCATATGCCAAGAACGTTATGATCCATTCCTTTTCAGGATCAGGAAAGTAAGGGATTTTGCACTGGAGAAGAAACCTAGTAGCAGTCTGGTGCTGCTGGCGGTAGCAGGCCTTTGGTCCGTGTCTGTGGCTTTGCTCTCTGGCTTGGCTGGTTGCAGTTTCTTACGGAGTGAACAGTCTGGTGCCTGAAGATGATGGACAGTGCTGAGTCATGCTGCTTGTACTGTCGCTAATTTGTGAAATTCTCAAGTCCAGATGCAGAAAACTAATGATGTTTTTACAGATTATAAGACCACATGGCAGAACTCTGTCAAGAGCTTGCGTTTGCCTGCAGAACATCAGAACTCTGGCCGTCTTCATAAGAAGATAATGTCTGTGCTGCAGAAAAGGCTGATACGTTGTTGCTGCCCTGAAGTATTAAATATTAAAGCTACTTCATATTGCCACCATACTTTCTGTTTTGCTTACGCTGCTGGTCTACTTCTGGTGTGATACATATCTGCAATGCATGACTGCATTACAAAATTGTTAGGAATTGGAAGCCAATGTGTATGAATAAGCCGAAGCCAGGGCTTTTCATCCATCGTGAGTAAAGAGCCTTTTGAGATTTTGGGGATCAGCGCATAAGCCAAATATTTCCCTAAGAGCGGGAATGGAAACAGTGGAAGTCATTTTTAAAAGCAAAAAAAAATCCCAACACCTAGAACCAACCCAAGAACAGCATAGGGCTTTTGATAATGGAGACTGTTTTGGACTATTGTCTCTTGCTGAGGAAAACCATACCATCTCAGACAAATTTAATTTCAGTGCTAAAGATGTTCTCACAGTCATTGAAGTAGAAGTTCTTTAAATTGCAAGTAAAATCAGCTATCTAGCTGTTGAGGTGCAGAAAGAAACCATGACTTATTTTTTTCTCCTATTTTAAGACCTTTAGGAAAGGTTTTAGTATGTTTAACGCAGAGTACTCAATCTGAAGTGCTTTACAGAAGCCAGTTTATCTAGTCCCTGAACTTGAGGACTTGCAGCAGATCTTCTTAATAGGTTCTTAATGCTTCCATGTCTGATGGCAAACTTCATATCATATACCTGAATCACTTCAGTTGCAGTATTTTTTTTTTTAAATAAAAATACCACTGTGCTTTTCCAAGTGCTTTCCTTGATGAGTAGTTGAGTGGGGACAGACTTCTTGGTAGGGCCTGGAGCAATAGGACAAGAGGCAATGGTTTTAAACTACAAGAGGGTAGATTCAGACTAGATATAAGGAAGAAGTTTTTTATGATGAGGGTGGTGAGACACTGGCACAGATTGCTGAGAGAGGTGGTAGATGCCCCATCTCTGGAAACTTTTAAAGTCAAGTTGGATGGGGCTCTGAGCAACCTGATTTCATTGAAGGTGTCCCTGCTTATTGCAGTGGGGTGTGAACTAGAATGGACCTTTAAAGGTCCTTTCCAACATATTCTATGTAAAAGTTCTTTTAGATCCTAGAATGAAAATCACTGTGTCTAAGCACATGAAAATTACCTGTGCATTGTTTTTAGGACTTCCCAGAGCCACCTGATTGCCTTCACATTGGTTTTCCTCAAAAAGTAAATGCTGCTACTTTAAGATACTTCCAAAGCCATTCACTGAGATGATCACAAAACCACACCTGAGCCCAATCAAATTGGTTTTGCATATTTCGAATATTTGTAATGCAAAATTGAAGGAGTTTGTTAAAAATTGAACAGCTGGAATTCTTTTCTAACAGTAGGTAGGATTTAACTTGTGATTGAACTTGAGGGTTTTTTTCTGTAACTAGAATTGTCCCGTTGAATACAGCTGGAGTAGAAGGTCACTCAAATAGAAAGACTTCAAAATGACCAAATGGTGGACTTGAGGAATACTAGTAGTAACATACCAACAACATTTGCCCACCTTGCAAGCTCTCTCATTTCTTCTTGCTCATATTTTTTTGTTCTGGCCTGAAACAGAGTGCAATACTGAGGGGATAGCTCCTGTTCCTGATGCAGGTGTCAAACTAACATTTTTCCAGATGTGGCCTCCCTCTGAACAAAAATGAAGTCTTATGTCTTTCACTAGTCATTAGGTACTTTAGTAATTAGTCACCTGCATAGGTGACTAGACAGGCTCAGGGGTCTAACTGGGTTCAAACAGGGATGATCCTGTAAGAACCGCTCAGAAAATAAGCTTTTCTTCCCTTGGGATGTTACTCCAAATGGTTGGTTGTAAAGGTGTTTTAAATCATCCATGTTCTATAGAGTTGTCTGACTTGAGTTTTTGTAACCCAAATTTCAGTAAATTGGCAGCATTGGACTTCCCTCTTCTGTTGCTTGTCAAGCCTGCACTCCTGCATGGAGCTGTCTCAAATGAAAGTTGGAATTTGTAGGAAGATCCAAGCCATTCTGCTTCTGCCAAGATGAGTTGTCGCTGAGACTACAGATTTTGATAATACTTCCCCCCCTTCCGTGTGTCATTTCATCAGTTGCATGACCAATAATATTTGTGTTTCAAGTGCTCTGACTGATGGAAGTTACGGTTGCCTCTCATGATGTCCATCTAGCTCATGCTTAAGTGTTTCCAGGTTATGTGCAAGCTCTGATAGACTCCATTTTGCCAACAGCTTGCTTTGTCTTTTAAATTTATGTTGCAAATAAAATAATCCCAAGTTTTTGTGGGGAGGTGGAGGGAAAATTGTCACCAGTTGATAATGGTGAATGTTAAGTATTTCAGGCACTTTTGATGGTAAGGCAAGACCATGGCTTTTGTTAAAGCTGAGTTCATTGACTCAGGCCAAAGCACTTTATGTGACTTTAATTAGATATTGACAAGGTAAGTGTAAGTGTTGAGTTTAATACACAGAATAGAAGATGTTTATATTGTATATAAATTTTTGTTAGTAATAAATAGCTGTAGGAGATTTCACTTGCTTGTAGCAAGGTTTTACTTTGCTCGTGTTAGCACAAGAGGTTCAAGTTTTGGTAGATGCTCAGGTTGAGTATGGTGTCAGACTATGTGGAAATCATGTTTTCACTTGCTTCTCTTACCATGTACAGCTACATTTTTGGCTATTTTGTTCCAGAATATTTATTTGGAAATCCCTATTTGTATCTTATTTGCATCTTTCCTTAGTTTGAAACATTGTTAAAATGTAGAGTAAAAGCCACTAACGAAGCATAGTCACTAGTGCTAAAGCGTTCACTTGCTTGTGGCTTTTTCCTGACATGGGTTACTTCCCAAATAAAGTTCCGGGATGTTGATTTGTGGAGCTGAATAAGTGCTCGTAAACTCAAGGGAGCCCTTGAAATCTGTACACAGGAAGTCCTGCTCAAAGGAAAGACTACCAGGTTTTGAGCTTCTGTGGAATCTTTCTGATTGGGAAGACAGTCTTCAAAACACTGTTCCCTTCTGTCTCTTGTCTCTGCGTGGGCAAGTGGGAGCTTGCAGAGATGAAAAATCTCCATTCTCCTTGTTCTAGTGATAACTTGGAAAGCTGATGTGTTTTACCTCTGACTGGAGCTGCATTGATGGGTTAGGTGTCATGACATTGAAGATGGATATGAAATGCAATTTTGTGATTATTATTATTATGGACGGCTATAGATTTTATGTGTGGGAAGTACCTATATATCCTTTGAAAGCTGAAAATATGAATAAGTAAAACTTTCTGTTTGGTCACCTCTTGGCCTTTTTGTGTAGTAGTGAAAGCAAGTTCTATGTGAAGAGGTTTCAGGCAGACTGAAAGATGCTGAAAAAAACCATTTCTGAGCACTGTCTCTTCATTGAGCATCCTAGAGGAGTAACAAATTCCAGCAACTGTTTTTCTAGGTCTTGTAGCAGCTGTTAATATTGGAGTCGATGTGGCTCATCTACATTTGAAATAATTGTTAGATTTTAAAGATAGGTCACCAAGTTGGGCATTCAGTGGAGATATTACATTAATGTTGTCAGACAATGCATTTTAATGATTTTATTAGCTCATTAAGGTTTTTTCACAATATATCTTCTTTCAAGGTTGAGGCACATAACTAATGGCTTTCAAAAAGGTGCTGCTTATAAAAGGTGGCATTTAAGAGGCTGGAAACTAAACACGGCTTTTCAGCTGCGCTGAAGTGGCACCTATCTAGAAGATTTTAGCATTGAATTTGAAGCTGGTGTGGTATAGGGGTGGCAGAAGACTGTCTTTCTCTGGATTAGGAGCAGTTGCAGCTATTGGAAGTCTCCCAGGATCTGGAAGCTTCTTCCTATCAGAAATAACTTCTGCAAAGTGAATATGTGCATGGGGGAGATGGACCTTATGCATAATCCTCATCTGTCCATGTTTTACATATTGTGTTTAGTTGCCACAAAGAGACCTGTCAACATAGTGAATAATTAAGGATTTATATGAATTGTCAACTGGTTCATAGTCTGGTTCATCAGGTCAATAATTTTCTTTGTTGTGTCTGTTTACTATGCGGTGTTTTTATAGACCACAGTAAGAAGCAGTTTATTGTATCAGACACTCCATGGGGCAGCCTGTCTGCTGTGTGTCTGCCTCTTGTAGACAGTGAAACACTCATTTCTAGTCTGCTGTCAGTGGCAGACATTAGTATTGTAGACATACAATAAGATTTATTTAATATGTAGATGAGATTCTTGTTTATTTAAAGGTCTCTCTTAAGTGTCAGTGTAACTCTGCTGATTCTGTGTTTTGTTGCAGAACTACCCATGAGTTTTTGTTTGGTGCCCTTGCAGAACTTGTAGATAATGCCAGGTATGTACCTGAGACTGCCAAATTCCCAAGGCAAATTTGGTTAAGATTTAATTAGCCTGTCTATTTGTTGATCTTGAGCAATTTTCACTTCTAGTAGACTTTATGAAAAATACAAAATAGAAGATTTTGCTGTAGTTTAGTATATTTCCATTGGTCCTCTTACACTGCCACATGTACCTCATTTAAAAAAAAAAAAAAAAAAAAAAAAAAAAAAGAAAGGTATTATTCCTGGAAAGGTAAGCTTGAATGAATCATAGAACAACTCAGATTGGAAGAGAAATTATTAGAAGACATGAGATAGCTATAAGGAAAAAAGAAGTCTGCCTTTTTGTTGAAATTATTGGAACTGGACCTCTTAAGACACTTAGATAATCATTGACTCTTAGTATCAAGCATGGTGATAGGATGAAAATGAAATCAGAAGTGGCATGCTGAAAAATAGAGCAAGAACAGTTAGACACTTTAGAGGAGACTTTTCTCATGTTTGCTTTAGGGAATCCAGGCTACAGCTGTGTCCTAAACCTTTGTGTACTTACCTCTTGAGCTTTACAGAATATTCTGATGTGGCACTATGGAAGTATTTTGAGATCGTTTTCTACCAAGTGTGAATTGTCACACTATGCAGTTTGTAATGTAAAGAGCTGAAACTGGAATAATTTTATGTAGGGAATCAGCCGTGTGTATGTGCTCACTGTTGCTGTTTTCACTTTTGCTACAACATAGTTAAATGTAGTAGCTTTGAGATTAACAGGTGTCTTTGTCTTCAACCTCTTGGTTCCTATTCTGGCAAAAGAGAGGTCGGCCTTCTGGGAAAGGGTACCTTTTAGCTGTACTTGGCTGGAGATAAAAAGGCAAGACAAAGTGACTTTGGCATTTGGAAAGTGAGATTTTATTACAGCACTACAGCACTACAACTGCGCTCTTCTGATTAGCAAACCAAGGGTATGTGATGTTCTACATGAAAAAATAATTAAAAATTGTTCTTGAGAAGAGGACAGTAGTGCTGTATATGCTGCTTTTTCAGATACAGAGGAGGATGCACAGTGTATGAAGGGCTTTACGTAAATGATCTTGTAATGACAGTTTCCTGTGACAAACTTGAATATATTTGGATGGAGTTTTATGTGGACTTACTGAATTTCTTATAGGCAGCTTGACAGAAAAAATGTAGGTATTGTTTGTTTCTTACAGGAGGGGAGCTCAGAAGTGTGTGCTTATTTGAATCCCTCCTCCACTTTAATATGACTTTTGTTAAAAAGCCAGTGATACTGTAACTAAGCTTAGTTGTGTGGCAGCAGTGTCTTGTGCTGGAGTTTGGGTTCAAGTAGGTAGGCAAAAAGTAGAACAATGTGTCTTTTAACTATTTTGTTAGTGCTGACTCTGGGGCCTTTGTGGACTTTCATCTGTGCAGCCAATTAATTTTGGAAATTATTGCACCTGCCTGGATTTTAGCTTAATTTCTACTTGACATTTGAATACTGATTGTGTTTTCATTGCTTTGTAGAGATGCAGATGCCACAAGAATAGACATTTATACTGGTAAGTCACTCCTGCTGCTTCCGTGCATGTCAGCAGTTAAGTCAGTAGTTAACGTGGATTTAGGTTGCAAATGTGTGTTATGCCTGGTAGAATAAGAGTGAGGGTGTTTATGCCCAATGCTGTGTTCAGTTTTGGGCCGCTCACTACAAGAAAGGCATTGAGGTGCTGGAGCATGTCCAAAGAAGAGCAATGAAGCTGGTGAAAGGTCTAGAGAGCAAGTCTTATGAGTGGCTGCTGAGGGAACTGGGATTGTTTAGTCTGGAGAAGAGGCCGAAGGGAGACCTTACCACTCTCTACAACTACCTGAGGAGAGGTTGTAGCAAGGTAGGTGTTGGTCTCTTTTCTCAAGTAACAAGTGTTAGGATGAGAGGAAATGGCCTCATGTTGTGCCAGGTGAGGTTTAGTTTGGATATTAGGAAAAATTTATTCACTGAAGGGGGTTATCAAACATTGGGACATGCCGCCCAGGGAAGTGGTTGAGTCACTATCTACATGTATTTAAGACATGTAGATGTGGTGCCTAGGGACATGGTTGAGTTGTGGACTTGGCAGTGTTAGGTTTATGGTTGTACTCGATCCTAAGGGTCTTTTACAACCTAAATAATTCTATGATTCTACTGCTTGTCTTATGCCCCAGTGCCTGTCGTCTTTCAAAAAGTAGTACCTTTACAAATAACTTGGGCAAGCACTTAGATCAGCCTTTGGCTGAGGTCAGGTAAAGTGAGTAGCTGTTTATGCTGCATGCATAAGAAACCTGCTTTTACAATATACTCTTGTAGCATATATTTACATACAGTTTAAAGTGCAGAAGTTCTTAGCCATTCTGTGACAAAAAGCCGGTGCTCTCTCTTACAGCTTAGCTGTACTGGGGTTGTGAAAGTCCTTTTTGTTGTGTTACTTCTGTTGTGAACACTGATTCCATTTTATGGAACTTCTAACTTTTGCTCGTGGGAGTAGTGAATAACTCTTCTCTTGTAGAGCGACGGGAAGACCTACGAGGTGGATTCATGCTGTGTTTTTTGGATGATGGAACGGGAATGGATTCAAGTAAGTGACAGGAAGTTACACTTGCATTTTCGATCTGAGGTTTCGTGTTATGGCTTAAGCTGAATTAACAGCTTGGTTCTGTTGAAAGGGGCATGTTCCATGCCTGGATATGTGTTCCTACCTCTGCACTGCCTCTTTTGCACTGTATCATATACCAAACTGTTTACCTTTTCAGTTGCAGAAAACTAATCTTATCAAAGGAAAATTGTTTTGCTTCTTTATAGAGTTGAGTCAGCCTGGCCTGTGGTTTTCCAGTACACTGAAGTTGACCTTGGGGCTGGAGGGAGAGTAGTGTAGCTAGCCAGAAGAAGAAACAAGCACAAGCTTTGATGGGCATAAGCCTTTTCGCCATTAGAGGCTGCCAAGCAGTTAGTGTATCTCAGCTTTAATAAAAAACTGTGCCATGCCAGAAATTGGAAAGCTTAGTTTGGACGCATTTTGCAGTTGTTTCACCGTTGGCACTGTGATTGAGATCAATACTTGACAGTATGAAATCTTAAGAGTGTGAGAGGAATGTAACAGATGTAATTCTGCGTTGTCATAAGAATTGATGTAAATCCATGTTGGATCTAGCAGGAGAAAAGCCTTCTTGCTTTGCTTTAGCATCAGTGAACAGCACTGTCATCCTACATCACCCTGTGTCTTGAAGATGGGTAAATCCTCCTGTGAGGAGCTCTCTACTCAGGAGAAAAGTTAGGCTAAATTGGAAGGTTTTGTAGAAAGTGGGAGATGGGTAAATATGCATCAATTAACATATTTGTTCTGATCCCTCAGAACTTTAAAATCCTATTGTGATACTGTTGTGGTTTAACTCCAGTTAGCAACTAAGCACCACACAGCCACTAAGCACCACACAGCTACTCAGTCCTCCAGTGGGATGAGGGAGAGAATTGGAAGGGTAAAAGTAAGAACACTCATGGGTTGAGATAATGACAGTTTAATAGGGAAAGAAAAATTTGTGCATACAAGCAAAGCAAAATCAGGAATTCATTCACTGCTTCCCATTGGCAGGCAGGTGTGCAGCCATCTGCAGGAAAGCAGGGCTGGCTCCATCATATGTAACGGTGACTTGGGAAGACAAATGCCATCACGCTGAATGTCCCCCCTTCCTCCTTCTTCCCCCCAGTTTTATTGCTGAGCGTGATGTCCTGTGGTCTGGAATATCCCTGGGCTCAGTGGGGGTCAGCCATCCCAGCCTCGTGCCCTCCCAGCTCCTTGTGCACCCCCAGCCTACTCGCTGGTGGGGTGGGGTGAGGAGCAGAAGGGGCCTTGACGCTGTGTAAGCACTGCTCAGCAGTAACGAAAACATCCCTGTGTTACCAACTGTTTTCAACACAAAACTAAAACATGGCCCCATGCAAGCTACTATGAAAAAATTTAACTCTAGCCCAGCCAAAACCAGTACAGATATGAAGCATTTAGTTCTGTTTATTAATGCTTATAAAAATACAATAACATCTTTGATATGCAGATTTGTGACCTGCATGAAGGAATTTAGTTTGAACCCTAGATAGCTTGTGTATTCTCTGGAATACAATTAAGGATGCTAAACAGGTCTTCTGAGAGTACTTTTCTGTCACCAATGGAATTGAAGGAAGCAGTTAAGCCCCAACTGTAAAACAAGTTTAGAGACTTAACTGTGGTCTTCTCACAAGCCTTTGGATCAGGGAGAAACACAGCCTTTTCTGCATGTCTTGAAAGCTACATGTTTGTCTCTGGATCAAGAGTAGGTGTCAAATGTCAGTTCTAATGCTTCAGAGTCTAATATCAGCTTTTATGCTGTTGTTGCTCCCCTATTGCTGATTTTATGACAAAGTGGGATTCAAGTATTGGCTATGTATTAAGTTGCTTCTTTTGTCTGATCTTTCTGCTAAATCTTGAAGGATTTTATCCTGATTTTGGTAGTCTGAGATACTCTGTAAAGGAGATTGGCAGATACTGTGGGTTGTAATGATATTTCACAGTACTATACATCATTTACAGCAAATACCATATAATTTATGTCCTTTGACTGTCTTGATGTCGAAGTGAGGTTCATTCTGTGTCTGAAAAAAGTGTTGTTTTTTGTTTTAATTTTAAATAGGCTGTGAAGTTATCTTTGGCCCTTTCCAGGACATTGCTTTTCAGAATGTAAAATTGATATGCCAACTTTGTTTAGCACTTTCAAAAAAGCCCTTCTTAATTTTCAGTGGTTAGAGACATACTGTTTCGATGCAGAGTCTAGCTCTAGCGATCACGTCTTCATAGCTTCAATGCTGGATGGTCAGAGTAATCTTGATATGCATTTGACAGTCACTTGACCAAGAGCAGCCAGGTAGAAACTCCATCTGCTGCACTGGTTGCCTGTCAACGCAAGGCAGAAGTGGGTGGGGAAGAGTCTGTTACTCTGACTCCCAACATATGCCTCTCTGTTTCTGTTCCTGGCTGTAAGGGTCTGAGTTTTAATTTCTTATAATGCAGATCTACCAGTTTGAAAGATGATTTTAGGAGATGTCAGCAGAAAACCTTTTATTGAACTTTTCTGCCTTCTTATGTTGAAAATAGCATCAACATCCATACAGATTCAACAGAAATCATAGAGCTTGGGAGAGTTTTATTTTTCCACATGATAATTCTAATTAAGGATTATTTTTATGGTACATAAAGCTGACATGTTAAGAAGAAGACCTACATGACTTGCCATAGTGTTGTTGGGGCTCACACTAGCATGTGATTTAGCATGACTAGATTTAGCACCCTGTCCCATCATGTCTTGAAAACTCCAGCAATGAGGGCTCCACCATATCCCCGGGGAGGTTGTTCCAATAATTGATTATTCTCACTCTAAAATATTTCTTTCTTATACTGAGATGAAACCTTACCCAGTGCAATTTGTACCAGTTGCCCATTATCTTTTCCATGTGGCTCGTTGTGAAGCTAGAGCCTTTCTCCTCTTAGCTGTAGCTGCCCTTTAAGCACTGGAATACTGTGATGAGATTCCCCCTGAGCCCTCTCTTCTCCAGGAAGAGGAGACCTAGCTAATTCCATCTTTTCTCATAGGGCAGATTCCCCAGCCCTTTGATCACCTTCTCTTTTGAACCCTGTCCAGTCTGTCTGTGTGTTTCTTGAATTGAGGAGACCAGAACTGGACACGGATGTGGCCTGGCAAGCACTGAGTAGAGTGGGATGATAGCATCTCTCTCTCTCTCTGTAGGAATGCCCCTGTGGATGCAGCCCAGGATCCCCTTTGCCTTTGTTGCTGCAGCAGTGCACTGCTGACTCATCTTCAGCTTGTCCACCAGGACCCCCTTTCAGCAAGATTGCTCAGCCACACAGATCCCTGCCTGTACTGAGCTCTTTGGTTATTTCATCCCAGGTGCAGGACCTTGCCCTTCCCTTGAACTTCATACACTTCTTGCTTGACCACTCTTCCAACCTGTCCAGGTCTCTCTCTAAGATGGCTCTCCCTTCTGATGTGTCCAGCTCACCATCAGCAAACCCGGGGAGGGTGCTTTCACTCCCATCATCCAGATCTCTTACGAAGATGTTGAACAGTGTGTGGCACAGCGTTGATCCCTGGGGGACCCCACTTGTGACAGGCTGCCAACCAGCGTAAAAGCCATTGATGATCACCCTCTGAGCATGACCTGTGAGCCAGTTCCCTACCCATCTTGCATACTACCTATCCAGTCTGTGTCTTGCCAGTTTGTCCAGGAGAAGGTTGTAGGAATGAGTGTCCAATGCTTTGCTAAAGCCCAGCTAAACAACATCCACTGCTCTCCCCATGTTGACAGAAAGTGCTGCCTTGTTGTAGAAGGTGACTAGATCGCTCAGGTGTGAGTTACCTGCGGTAGATCCATGCTGGTTTATCCAAACCACCTGCTTCATTTTAAGAAGACTAGTTCCATTGCTTTCCCAGGGATTGAAGTAAATATATTAGTTCTTGCTCTTTAAACTGTATTTGTGAAGTTTGGAAGCTCAAAAGAGCTTTTATTTTACTGGATGCAGTTTAAGTACTAATGTCTTGGTTACTTTATTAGATCCTGTAGTTTTGAAATACTGTTTATCCAAAGCTCACAGTGTTGAGAAATTATGTTTAAATGTAACTGAGATTCTAGCACTTATTTTAAAGTGTGTGTATACACTCTTACGTGTAGGCAGAGACACTTGGGTAACCACTCTCAGGGGAGTGGTCTACATATTTCTCAGTGGAAAATGTCTCTTCAACCTTGTAGCACATTGATGATTCCTCTCAAGTTAACAGATTTTTGAAATAAATCACAGTAACATATATCAAACTGATTTGTCAGTCACTAGCTGTGGTCAGCCATTTTCCTCAGATGAGTGGGTGTCTTGTGTTTGTTACAGTGGCAGAAGACCTCAGAGCTTCTCCCCTGTTCCTCTGTTCCAAGGAAAGCTTGACTGGAAGTAATCTTGATTTAGGCTGATTTCCCCCAGGTAGTAAATTAGATACTCTGGCTCTGGGATATTTTTTGAGGATGCTGTTGAGTCTACTGCAAGTACTCTACCTAATGTGAATATAGCAGATGAATTTATGGAGAAGGCAGGAAGAATAATTTTCTGTGTCCAGATTGGGACCTTTAGTGTATTCTCAGCTGGAGAACTTGAAAATATGAGAGGATTCTCCTCAAAGGGTAAGGCCAGGTCTGACTTCAGTGGCTGCCTTGTGACCCATAGCAGGGGAGAGGGGAGGTATGGCTTGTGACCCATAGTGTGGGGGGAGCAGGGAGGTTTGGCTCATGACCCATAGCGGGGGAGCAGGCAGCTGCCTGCAGGGATGTCGGTGGTGCGTTGTGTGTCAGCAGGCGTGTGTGCTGTAACTGTCTGTCATTCAGGAGGATGCTCTGTTGCTGTCCTGGAGGACCAGCAGTCAGGAACTAAACAGCTCTTTCCCCCTGTTCTTCATCCCAGGTGTCTGATATTTCTTATTAGACAACTTTTTATCTGTGCCCTTGATTCCTTTTCTTGGGCTCTGAAGATCAATCTGCCGTCTTGAGTGAATTCCTTCAGATTGTTTTTTCATCTGTTTGGATCACATTACCCTGCTTTTTGTTGCCAGGGAGTTTGTTTTTTTTTTAAATCCAGTAACTCTGAGACACAACAAAACGAAAACAGTGTGACTAAAATAGCCTGAAGTGAAACTCCCTTTGGAGCCTTAATTCAAAAAAGCTGGAAGAAAAATCATTTGTACCTTGATTCTTGGGAGGTGGTAAAGATTAAATCTTTCCCAAAGACAGCAAGCCTGCAGCAGAGAGAGATGCTTCCTTGCTCCCGAGTAGTCCCCTCTGCTTGTCATTATCTTCGCCCCTCTGCCCAGAAGGAAGAATCTTTATAGGGTGGTGTTGGACATCCAGCATTGAATAACAAACCATATGCTTACCTTTTCTGAGAGAGGAAATGCTTCAGACAATTACTCTTTACTCTTTTTAGGCTTGTCAAAGTTTTCTTAAAAACAGATGTTGATACAACATTTTGTGTAGCAAAAGCATTCCAGTAGCCCCTTTTCTGACCAGTCTTTAAAACTAACACAGTGATAGTAATAATAGTAGTATCATAATACTCATCAGTATCCTTACGCACATCTCAAATATGAGATAATCTAATGTTTTCTTTGTTTGACTAAAAAATACTGTAGTAGGCTGAAGGAAAGGAAGATGTACTCTCAACCAGTCAAAAGTTGGTTTTGAAATCTCTGTGGAGCTCCATTATGGACATACTGAATTGAGGCAATGAGGTCCTTGCACAGTTGTTCTGTATTTTCACCTTGTAATTGAGGCTTTAAATCTGAATGTCATTTGAATGGAAAATGGCATTCTGACACCCAGCTCAGTGATTTCGTGTTAGACCAATGGTATTAGTACTAAACATCTTGCTGTAAAAGCTCACTGGCAGTACTACCGGACCTGGGTAAGTCTCCCACATGCTTAAATCCAGCTTGTCCCGTAGGCTCAGCCTCTGCTTAGCTGGCTGGTGGGGTGAGTGTTGTCCCATGCTCCCTCACAGCTTGTGTACGCATTTGAGGGCTGTAATTGTTGTTAGCCTTCCTGTTAATGCACTTCGTGTTCCTTGTCTCTGGAATTGCATTACATTTCTCTCAGTAAATTCTATGGAGAAATGATTACTGTCTCTTGGGGGAAGGGAGAGGAATTGTTCTGTCCTATGGATGATGTTAAAAGACTTTATCCCTTGAACAATAGAAAAGCTTGAACTAAAAATGACAGACCCTCTCAGCTGTAAAGCCATCACGTCCTTTCATTTTGTCCTGTGCTAATAAAATACTCTGTTAATTGCTGTGGTAGTTGCTAGTAGTGCCTTTTCACCCACAGCTGTTCTGCTGTTGTTAGTCCAGCAATCTGCTGCAAAAATGAGCTTTTGTATTACTAGTGCATTATTTGATCATAGTGTTCCATTCAACACCATGAAGAAAAAGTAATGTTTATCCTGAATTCAAGACCTTTTTCATAGTACTGACTTATGCTCTGGTGCCAGTGGTTTCAAGTCTGTGGTGTCAGCAGTACAGCAGAGCTGCAGCATCCCAGGATATGTTTTGGTTTATTTTCAGGTTGATAACTGTGGTGGACACAACAGATAATCTTGTGGACATTTTTTTGTAAAAAGAAGTGTCTTTATGCAGTTCAGATGGGCACTGGGCTAGTCTGAAACTTTAAATTCTTTTTGTCAGCATAGTGGCATATGTACACAGCTTCGGATAATGTAAATGCCATCAAGCGATGTGTATCTTACAGGACTGTATGGTAGAGCCTCAGGGTGAGGCTTTGGCTTAGGCTTCTGGCCTCTTCCGTGCTATAGTCTTTCTCTGCTACTTACAGTGGTGAATAAGTTTATCTAAAAGATGTGTATGTATGTGTCTGTATATTAAAATAAACTTTTTTTGTTTCCTGTCTCTCATTCCAGATGAAGCTGCCAGTGTTATTCAGTTTGGCAAATCAGCCAAACGATCACCTGAGTCAACTCAAATTGGACAGTATGGGAACGGCTTGAAATCGTAGGTATAACAAAAGGCAGCCTCCTGAGATTATGGCGGTTAGAGTTGAGAATGTAAATTTTTTTTTTGCTTGGAGGTGTATATCTTTTTTTCCCATGAGAAAAAAAAACAAACAAACAAACAAAAAACCCCAGATGAAATCTAAATAAAGATGCCATGGTTTGGTAGACAGGAGCTCTATGAACATCTGTACTTCTTCAGTGGCAGAGAAGTCTGTCCAAAGCTGTTGACAGTGTTTTGCCATTATGTGTGTGTGATGCAGGTGATACAGATCAGAGCTGGGGAGAAAAAAAAAATGAAAGAGCAGGAAACAAAACCTTAATATGTCTGTGGCAGACAGATAGGAAAATCGAAGCAAAATAGTGTTGCAGCCTTTCACTAGGAAAGTGATCTGCTTCAAGTCAGATGGACTTAAACCTTTTCTTTTTTTATTAAATCAAACATGCATTGAGAACGAGGGGAATGATGGAAGGAATGAGAGGAGTGTAATTAAGTGGCAGAGAAATAGAAGTAGGAAGGAATTCTTACTGGTTGGAGGGGATTTGCTGGCAAAGAGAAGCGTGTTTGCTGTGGTGAACTAATGTCTGGGAAAGTTAGAGGGCTTCTATGGCTTACTCTGATCGGCTGTTCTGCTTTATGGTGTTCCATGTGGCTTGATTATTTATATGCATCCTACTGGGGAAATCTGTGGGACTCTTATAATCTGGGGGGAAAGAAAAAAAAGGGATGTAAGGGACCTTGAGATACTGTTCATACAGCTGCAGTGCAGGACAGATTCCAAATCTTGCCTATGCACTTCAGGGCAGATTTCTGTCCTATTCTTAACCTTGAGCAAGAGGCATACTATATTACAGCTAAGAAATGCAGACTGAAGCCTAAGCATGCAAAAGGTAGGCTTTGGTATTTTGTTAAGCCAATCTAAAGAGAACGGAAGTGACAGAACACTAATCCTTCTTTTGATGCCACGTTAATTTTTCTCTGTTAAGGTCTTTTTGGACAAGTTGGGTAATAGGGGAAAAGAGAAGATGGGGAAGGCACTAATAGGGGTAGGATAGTGGGGAGGAAGATAGGGCTGTCCCTTTTTGTGACAACTAGCTGCTAAGTTGCATTAGCTGAAGTGTCAGTGAGTCTTTTGAATTAGACATTAGGAAATAAATTGTCTGTCTCCCAGAAACTTGTCTGCTGTTACTCATTCTGTGCACAGCAAAATGAAGTGTGCATTTGCATTCTCACCTACATTTCTGCTTGTATATTTGAAGGTTATTGTCACATCTCACTTTAGTAATCTTTTTTAGATTTTTAAAAAAATGCTTTTTTAAAAAAAACTTTCTAGATTGTATGAGCCTGGAAAGCAGCACTGTACTTTGCACCTTTTAACTGTAACTGGTGTTAAATGTTTTGAAACGTTATGAAAATGTCCAGATTGAGATACCTTTTGAAAGTAATGAGATGCTTAGAGAGAAATGGTGGTTATTGTTTAAGCCTTTCTTCTGCCTTACCTGGTATTGGCATCTCATAATTGAACATAATGGGAAGAAAACTCAGTAATGCGGTCTGTTTTCTAGAAAGTGTTGTGCATCAGGTGTAACGTGCAACCTGAAATGTGTCTCCAGGGGTTCCATGCGGATTGGGAAGGATTTTATCCTGTTCACAAAGAAAGATGACACCATGACTTGCCTCCTCCTGTCACGGACGTTCCATGAGGAAGAAGGCATTGATGAGGTTTGCATGTACTTTGTTGTAATGAACTAATCTGGTGAATGCTGTCTCATCTGAACTTCCCTAGCTCTCACACGAGGAGTCTATGTCAGTGTTGATTGCCACTCTGGTTGCATCAGTGTATGGTTTTCTCTTGGTGATACACTTGTAGGGCTTCTGCAAAGTCATCAAAGATTTTTTTTCCTTTTGGTTTTAATTCTGTTTGAGAGGTCTCTCCAAACTACAGCAAGTTTGAAGGGCTTGTTTTGGTCCCTTAAAGTTGCTTACACTGAGTTCAGGACATGCCCAGACTTCTTGCATTTTCCTTGTCCCACAAAATTTGAGATGTATTTAAATTTATTGCTTTGTTTTGATTTTCTTTAGAGAACTAAAGGTATGATTGAAGTTGCTACTCACAGGCCGTAAGCTCCAGCCATGTCTCTTCTTTGGATCTTTTAATTTTTTAATAAAAAAATCAGTGTGGTTCTATCTATTGAAGACTTATATATCTTAATAGACAATTCAGGCATTGTTGTTTCGTTTCCAGACTCTTAACATGAAAGTATTTTTTTGCTCAAGCACAAGTATTTCCAGGCAAGGCCGATAATGAAGGGTTTTAAATTTGCACTGGGATAGTATCTAAGAAAGCTTTTTCCATTGTGATAGTGAAGGGAGCTCTACAAAGAACCTGTTGAGGGGAGCAGTGCTTGCTAGTAGCCAGCTGATGGCTGAAGCAAATTGGGAACAGTGATGTAGTTTCTAAAGTGGCTCTGGAGCCAGAAATTTTGGCTTGATCTCAATTCTAAAGTGAGAATGGGATTCACTGTCCTTGATAGGCAGCTGCAGTCTATAATTCTGTGTTTTTGTTCTAAACGACAAAACACCAATAACCTTGCTAGAATCCTATAAAAACAATAGAGTGAGATCAGGATGGGAAGGATATTTGAGTTCAAGAGAGAAGTTAAGTACAGAGGTTGGCATTTTTAAAGAAGCAAAGTTTGGGTGTTTTTTTAGTATTATGAAAGTTGTTACAAGTAGTAGAGAAAAGACATTGAGCGTGTGAGTAGCCAGTATCATACATGTTACTTGGGAATGGTTCAGTCTAAGACTGGGTGTTGTAGGAAGGCAACTCAGAGGCTGGCAAAGAGGGGTCCTTGAGCATTTGACTGATGTGCAAATCACTGAAAAGCTAGGAAGGGCTCTTGCAGTGACTTAGCAGGCTGTTGGAAGGGGTAAATTGCTCGGCCATGATCTGCAGGAGGGGCTGACTGGCGTGGGTAAGCCTGAGTCCCTCTTAGTATGATGCAATTTGCAGGTCATAGTTCCTCTGCCCACCTGGAACGCACAAAGCCAGGAGCCTATGAGTGACAACATGGAGAAGTTTGCTATTGAGACAGAGCTAATTTACAAGTATTCCCCTTTCAAATCAGAACAAGAAGTGATGGAGCAGTTTAATAAGATCTGTGGTGAGAAAGGTATGTACGGACAGTGCTGGTCACAGGCAAGGTATTTGGGGTTTGGCTGGGATTCACCTGATCAACTTGTTATTTGCTCAGGCACCTTGGTGATCATCTTTAACCTCAAACTAATGGATAATGGAGAGCCAGAGCTGGATATAACTTCTGACCTGCGAGACATTCAGATGGCAGAAACACCTCCAGAGGGAACGTAAGTGTGATGTGTGTTACAGGCACCCGGGCTCTGATCAAATTATGTGTAGGGTTTGGCTATATACTTTGTATATGTGTTTTTTAAAAACTTCTCTTCCTGTAGTGAATTGGAGAAAGTAGAAGATGTTTCGTTTGTTCTTTATTAGTTTTGAGTTCACATGTGTAAATGGCCCGTGGGCGTTACGGTTGTATGTTTGGTGTGAATGCCTGCATTGGCTTGTCTCAGCTTAGTCAAAGCAGCAAACTCAATGCCCTTCTGTAGGCACCTTAAAACAAAGGAACTCTAAGCTATAGGTTTAATTTTCTACAGTCTTCGAAGATGTTTTTGTCAGAATGACAACCAGTTGTATGTCTCTGCTGCTCTCAAACTGATGTTCAATTTTATCATTAAATGAACCCTGGAAAAATGCAAAGTGCCACACAGGTCAGCCTCCACAAGTGAATGTTACGTGTGGGTGGAGGAGGGGTGTATCACCACATCTTTCTGGGAGCAGGAGCATCTCATGGACTTCCCTGCAGAGGAGGAAGGATGTGCTCAGAGGACCCTGTTCAGGGCGAGCTGAGTGTGAGTTGTTCACTTGTAGCATGAAAAGGAAAAACTGAGCTGAACTGAGCCAAATGCTTGATTAATCCCAGAGCTCCATGGGAACACCTAATAAGTTTTACTTTTTTTTTTTTATGAGATTACATACTTCTTCCCTCAAGTGCTTGAATTTCCCATAGAAATACAGTAAAAACACTAAAACTAGCAATTTCTGTATGTATTAGCTTGATGCTATTGAGTACACAGGTACAGCAAACTCCTTGGGGACCTTCAGGGGTCTAATATGCTTCTCAGTTCCTTTAATGCCTGCAGGTGAGCTTTCAGAATTGCCACTGATCACAGGAAGGGGGGCTTCTTCCTCCTGACCTTGTGGTACCCATTTCTGTGTGTGATCAGTGCAGTTTTTGTTGGAGCATACTCCTGACTAACCGAATGGTAAGAGAACGCATTAGCAAGTGGGGCACACACTTAATGTTAAATGGTCCAGTTCATAGATTTGACCTTTATTATCCAGCTGCATTCAAAAATTCCTTTTCAAGCTACAGTGATATGTGCATTAGTGTTTTGTAATAGTATTTAAAATGTATAGCTCAATAGAAAATCTCTGTAGCAGACATAGGTGAAAAAATTTAACTTTTTAAATTTTTACACTTCATGTAGCTGCATGGTAATTAAAATAGTAAGGCCTTTTCTTTTACCTAGCTTTATTGCTGAAGGATGTCTCTTTGGCATGTTTTGAAGTAGATTGCTATGAGCTGAGATAATAACAGTTACAGTTGCATGAGGTGTGAATCCTGCCATAGGTGCTTAAAATACATCAGGGGTAGTGCAGAGCAGTCTGGGGAGGTGCTTCTGTTGGTCACTTGGCTCCTAGGTAGCAGTTTATTGGGAAATGAGAATCTTACAAGTTTTGTCCATGGAGAAACTTGTTCATTTGGTTTGGATAGAGGAGGAGGCTCTGTGACAGCAGTATGTCATGACTCTTCTTAATTGGAGGGGTATGAAGGGGAAAAAACTGTGAAGGAAATAGGAATCAGAATGCAGACTGACAGAGACTCCAAGATGAGCACTCTGACAAAGAGATAGTGATTACTCAGCATGTGAATCGATGGATTCATCTTTGGGCTACATGGACCAGACTGGGAGAATGTCTGCTGTTAGTCCTACAAGGAAATGCTGAGTAAAGTCTGTGTAAACATCCCTCTCTTGCAGAAAGCCTGAGCGCCGCTCCTTCCGTGCCTATGCTGCTGTGCTTTATATTGATCCCAGAATGAGGATCTTCATAAATGGACACAAAGTACAAACCAAACGGCTTTCATGCTGCCTGTACAAGCCAAGGTAAGTGTTGGACCCAAAGTCTGCAGACGTGTGGGAATTTTTGGAGTTGCCTTACAGAAAAGGTTTAGCATTTTGCTCTCCAGGTGTATCCTGTGTAATTCCAAACAGATGGTAAGAGAATGGGATGTAGTATTGACATCATGGGAAAAGAGGTAGATAGTGGAAAACCTAATGCCTTTGAAAATGGCATGAGCAATTTGTGTAATTTGGCTTCCTTTCAGAGCAGATGGAAAAATGAAGATACTGGTTGTTCAAAATGTCATATCCATAAAAATCTGTTTGGTAACACTTTTTTTTTTTTTTTTAAATAGGACAAGAAAATACGTATGGTGGGTGTTAGGTCTATTACTGAAAAGAAACTAAGCTGAGCACTTTGAAACAGTTGCTTTGAAAATTAACTTTTATATGTAGCTAATCTAGGTTTGAGTAGAGATTGGGAAATGCTTTTCCATATCTTCCTTTTAAATTCCCTTAAACAAAAACTTGAAAGTGAGCTGAGATGTGCTGCCAGTTGGCTTAACAGTGATTGGAAAAGGTTATGGAGGATGGAAGGGGAAAGAAAAACATGTATGTAAGCCTGCTTCAGGCAACAGTGTTCTGTCCCTGGGAGCACACAGGCTGCATTCTAGACACCTTAACATGATTTGTCTTAATAAAATAGCAGTAATCTTATAGAGTTTTTGCAGATTAATATAGCATTTTGGATTGCAGTAGTGTTTCAACAGTGTGGGCTCACTATCAACCCATCAAGTGCTTTCACTAGCCACGATCCAATGTCATGCCATTGATTGCTGCCCTAATAGCCTGGCCAGTTTTCCACTTATAATATGGTCTGTCTGACAGGCTTGTACTTACTCAGCTTCTTAAATAAAAATGTGTGAAACTTTCAGTGGTCTCCCTTTGTTGACCAAGCCAGTCATTTCATTGTGGAAGGCAGTCGGTAGGCGCAGCTTGACTTGCTGCTGTAAATCCTGATTTGCTGGGTAGAGAATCTCTGAATTTCTGACTACGTTTTACTTGCATGTGAATGCCATGTGCTGCTTCCTCTTGCGCTGCAGTCCAACAAAAGTACTATGGGGAAAAAGCAGAGAAGGGCACAGGTTTTCTCATCAAAGACTTGCTAGACTCAAAGGCAGGATGCCATTGTTATAGGATGGTGCTAGCATTTTCATGGTAACGAGGACCGAGTCACCCCAGGTGTTTATCTGCCTCAGTAGCTTCTTTTACAAGGGGTCAGTAGTCGATGCCTGGGGAGGGATATGAGAATTTTGTTCTATACCATAGAAATGTTTCCTGTGGAAAAGAGGCTGTGTTTTTTAGGCAATTTAGACAGCAGCTCTTCTAGGTCCCTATCACCATTTCTGTGTCTGTTTTTCATTGTTTTGGGGGAATAGTTGCAGCTGTAGAAGGGGAAATGAAAATTGTAACTGCTCAGCAATGGTAATTCATGACCGAGGAACGATCTGGCATGGAGGGCAGGAATGCTCAACCACAGAATGGGTTACACTGCCTGATGAGATAAGAAATGCTGCCACATTGTGTCATAACAGTGGTGTAATGCCGAGTGCTCAGGGGCCAGTTGTGGTAAATGCAGCTGCTGCTGGGGGATGAACCCAATGAGGGGCTAAGGCGTCCAATGCTGATGCTCACAGGATCAATGCTGGTGCAGATGTATCTAACAAATCTGCCTGTACTGTATTTTTGCAGACTCCTTGTAGATCTGCTTATGGTAAAAAATTCACTAACACTGTAAAGACATTTACATTTAAAATCCCCACTCCTGCAGCAGATTAGTAAAGTCTGTGCAAACAAGGCCTTCCTGTAGAGCACAGTGTAGATCTTCTTGGGCTTGGGGCAATTATCATAGCCTTACCAGATCTCTCTGGAGAGTGTCCAGACTGCTTCCTTCTGGTCTCAGACTCCTGATGCCAAGTTTGGGCTCCAGAAGCAACGTGACCATTGGGACAAGCCATTGAAGCCTTCACTGTGGGTTCTGAGAGCCAGTGCAGCTCTTGGGGTAGGTGCTCACACTGTGCCCTGGACAGGTGGTGGAAACTCAGTCTTTTACCTTCAGACACCTGAGCAGAGCTTAGTCTGCCCTGGGTGGCTCTTTCCCAAGGAAAAAACAGTAAATCAGTCCATTCTGAGAGTGAAGTTACTCTGCTTTTACAGCTATAGGTGATTTTTTTTTTTTTCTCCCTTAACCTGCTGAAAAGAGTTGCTTATGTGCTCGATTTTTCTTTTGGAGTTGGAGCCAGAGCTCATGCGTCACTATTTAGCTATTGGGCTTTGAGTTCTCTGCAGGTTAGTACTACTCCCCTGTACTTGTACAGGGACTCCACTTTGTCTAGGGGCACATGGAGAAGTGTACCACCATTAAGATTTCCCTTTAGAGGACAGCTGATGCATCAGCAATGGTCAACTCTTTACTATAGCTGTTTTTTGCAGAGCTTCAGTAGCCTAGGCCAGGTAACTGTTGAACTTTCCTGGTCCAGCAAAGGGATAGGTAACAGGCAGTGAAGGTTCCCCTGTCATACAGCCCAAGTAGGTGGTACATAATTAAGGGTACCAAGGTGGTACATACTTAAGGGCTCTTTGATAGTCTTTGAGGAAGTGTCATGAAGATGTCACCTGACGGTGAGCTGGCAAATGACTCCTGATTGCTGCCTTTTTACATAATTCTTGGTGAACTTTAGGCCAGGTGTCTTTCTGCTTGAAGTGATGTTTTCATGCCTTATGCTGGATATCGGTAGGTTACAGCCCTCAGCTTGTCTCTCTGCCACCTGGTCTGCTTTCAAGATCTGCTCAGGAGGATTGCCCTCAGGAGGTGGTGGCTCCCCTCCTACTGTAGGGCTGTAAGTCAGATTGCCTCCATCTCTGAAGGAAAAGCTTGCATGTGGCTTGTCTGCAGGTTAATGTGTTGCTGTTAGAGAACAAAGAATGTAAATCCATCATGGGCTTTAGGGTATTTAAGTGCCTTTACTGTTCTTTGTGGGGAATAACAGCTTGCCTCCTGAGCATGGCACTTATTTTCCTTTTGTCATCAGCTTTTCTGGGAGCCATGTCTCTGTGGATGGAGGCTTCTCTATGCCTTTTTGGAGCCTGTAACATCCCCGTAGCAAGGGCAGGCTGGTTTTGTGCAGATCCTTTGCCACTTTTTGCAGGTATGATACCACAGTACCAGCTTCCCTGGGAATGGCTTCTGTCTCCCAAAGGATTGCTTCCATCCATTCCCTCCCACAGTAACTGTTTGAGCTTGTTTAGCAGCACAGGCTGTGCAGGCAGAAGTAGCCAGGACATATGCAAGGGTGTCCCTTCATGCAGGCACTCCAAGGCACTTGTAACAAACATCCTGAAGCTGCGTGTGTTTTACTGTTGTGTCCTGCACACTTCTTGTATGTCTGGCCTGTTTCTGTACGTCTTTGCTAGATATGCTGTTCCAGACCACTTAAATAGTGGCTTTCTTGACTGTGACTGAAGTCATTTGGTGTTGGAAAAGAAAGTGAAACAGGATGGTCAGCACGACGTTGGCTCATGGTGCCTGTCTGGGACACCCTGCAATTTCTCGCACTGCACCCTGTTGCAAAGGAGTGCTGTCCTGCCTCATGAGCTGGGTGTGCTGAGATAATTCAGCTGCACCCTGTTGTTTTTTTTTTTTTTATCTCAGGAAAGTCAGGTGGGATGTGGATGAGGTAATTTAGTTACACCAACACATTGAAAGCAGTCTGGTTTTCAGAATGTGTTCTCTTTCTCGGCCCCGGGTAGCTTTAATTGCCCTTAAGTAGATTTGAGGAGATGGTGCCACCATAAACCTGACTCTGCATCTCCTAACATGGTTACTGGGTGATTTCAGGAAGAGGTAGCACCTGCTTTTTCCTCAGTGGGGAGATCCTTGTGAATAGAGGAGAATTAGTTAAGTAAATGCAGAAATGTGTTTAAGTGTACTGTGCTTGTGGTGTGAGTTTTCTGGATTTGGAAACGGGTTTTCTGTTGATCAGACTATTTCTGACATCAGTATTGATATCCATGTGTGCTCACCCACAGAAATGTACCTAAATGAAATTTTTCATCTGTGCAAGGTGATTTCTTATGGATCCTGATGGATTATCTGCCATTTGGGGGGATCTTGTCTCTCACTGGGATCTAAATGTGGCTCCTCCTACATTAATAAATCGGTCAATCAAGTCTTATGTCCTTCTGTGTTTCTGCCTCTCTGTAAAAACAGCATTTTTAGTGGCTTTTGCTTTGGCTAAATGCTGGAGAGGTTTGGTTTGTTTTTTTTTTTTTTCATAAAAAGTTGTATGGGATGGGAATTTCTTCTTGATACATCCAAAACCTCGTTGTCTTAAGGCAGTTTGTGTTGCTTTTGGCTCTGATCATCCTTCTTGGTGTCATCTCCTCTTCCCCAATTACATGCCTTTTCACAGAGATGATGCATACTCACAAGCTTCTGCCTTTTATACACGCCTGCCTCTTTCATTCTGCAGTAGTCAATCAGATTGTGATCTGCATTTGGCATGTTATGATACAGGGAAGATGAAACAAGCCACTGCAACTCAAGCACAATTTCCAAAGATGTGAGTCAGATGTGTAGCATGCAGAAATGTCCTGAAACTTCAGAGCTGAAACTTTAAGCTCTGTTCAAGCTCATTCTCTGCAGAGAGTAGCTCTGCCACTTACAGGCTTTCAGGTAGCCCTGCATGGAGATGGGTACTGTCAGACTGTAGCTGTGGACAGCTGCTTGCAGGAGAAAGGAAGGGTTATTTATCTGTAATGGGAGGTTTTTGAGAAGCCTTCCGTATATATTCACTCTTTCTTTCTGCTTCTGAATAAGTTATTCCTCTAAACCTTGGGATTTCCTCCAGGAATATGGATATATTTCTACCCCAATGGCTAATACAGAAGGGGGGTGTTGTTGTTGCAGCTACTACTAAAGCATCTCTAACTTAAAAATTTTTTGCCTAACTGCATCCAAAAATGCCCAGTTCCTGATATGTAAACCTCCTTCTCCATTTACTGAATCTGTTGAGTAGAGTAGCATGTGGAGATCTTATTCTTTCATACAGTGATGAAATCTTGGTATGACCTTACTGCTGAGTTTGCTGATTAATAAGTTTTGATCATCACAGGATGTACAAATATACTTCAAATCGTTTCAAGACCCGTGCAGAACAAGAGGTGAAGAAAGCAGAGCACATGGCAAGGATAGGTGAGTCTTTGAGGTATGCATGCATTCTGATTTTGCTGTAGCGAAGAAAAGGAGTGAAAGAGGCTGCCTTGCTGGATATGACCTGAAATTGCTTGCTTATGTGATCATTATGGTTGCTCAGGAAGTTAGTTATTACAGCAACTAAGCATGACCCAGACTGACTTCCATGCAATGGAAGAAATGTACATTGTTTCCTAAGACCACTTCCTCTGGGGAATACCTACAGAATAACCCTTGGAGTCACAGCTGTCTGCCCTTGCTCCATCTGAAGCCTGGCTAAGGTGTTGCCCTGTTACCCCACAGTTCTGCTCTCACCTTTTGCACATCATCAGCTTTTGGTTCTGTTTGCCTTCTGCTCCTTCCCTGTTGAGGCAGTTGTTCAAAAAATAAATTTTTATTCTGTCACTTGATGTAAAATGATTGGTCTGGATATACAAAGGAGTCCTGGTTTGTTTCTTAGGGTTTTTTTCCCTTCATGATATACCTTTTGTCCATCTACTTTTCCCTTCCTGTTATGTCCTGTAGTCCTCAAGAAAAGCCCAATTTGACATTATAAAAATTGAATAAGCATATAAATGTGGCATATAACTTAATTAAATTTGCACAGATTTAACACACAAAGCAGTCTCCCTAACCCCTGATGGGGAAATGCTGTAGTTAAGGAGGAATCTTGGAAGTTGTAAGACATGTTGATCTCTATCTTCTAATCATTTCATAAATCAACTTTATAAATCAATCAGAGGTATGTGTCCTTTCTCCCTGTGTAAGAGCTGCCCTAGGCATGTGTGTATATGTGTGTGCAGATCAATACAGAAGTGATGGTGCCACATTCAGCCTGTGAAGAGTCATTAAGGACAATGTGATTTTGACTTTGCCCAAAGCAAAGCAGCAAAATTAAATTGTGTAAATTTCTGTGTTCCCCGTTCCTTCTTTATGAAGTACAACCTAACAAGATAGACTTGAAACTATATAGTATAAGCAGACTTTATCCTGTGCCTCAAGCCTCATGAATTAATTTATTTTTTAGATTGAGTCTTATAGCCAAAGCAGGTGTTCAGCACACACTTCCAATGCCTTTCAAGAAGGAGCAAATAGTATAATTTAGAGAGGTTCCTTTCTTGTAGCAGTCCATGAGGCTTTCATGATGTTTAAAAGATGAGCTTTAGTGTCCTGACACTGAAAAATACTGCCATTCGGTGTCCCAATGCTAAGAACAAATACCATTGGCATGGAAATGTAAACTCATTTTCATCACCAAAGCTCTGGTGGTGAAGCGGGTGATGAGCAAAGAGCTTTGAACCTGGGGGTGAAAACTCACAGCAGACCTCAGACTGTTTTCTCCAAGATTTAATCATGTGAAGCCTCCAGGACTAAAACATGCTTGTTGCATTAATCTCGGCTTCAGTGGGACAGATCTCATTTATTTTCTTCTACAAAAATGAATTTAATCTGTAACAACTGAGTTCTTTTTTTCTGCTGTTGATAGAAAAGATGAACTTCTTATCATCTCCAGCATATGTTTTCTCTTGAGGATGCACACTGATCTTAGGAGGGCTCTTTACCAGGGAATGATTTGCAGTTTTCTCTTTCAAAACTAGGGGTGCATTGTGTGAAATGGTGGGTCTCAGCTGAGCTAACTGCAGTTCCAGTATGCTGTGGCTGCCTGCTAGAGATGTGTTGGAATCCATCACACTGTAGAACTCTACTGAGGGATTGATGAGTCTCTGCAGGTAGCATATGAGCTTTTTGAACCAAAACTTATGATAACTGAAAAATAGCTATAGAGGAGGAAGGAAATTTTGTTTAAAAAAAGAAAAATTAAAAAAGACGTACGGGCAGCTCCGACTGTTGGTGTTAACGGCTTTGGCATATCTAAAGAGTCATGGCTCAGGAGTGAAGATTTACATATATTTAAGATGAGGAAAAGGAACTCTTCATTCCCTGGGAATTGACTTCCTGACACATACAATAAGCATCCAGATCCCTAAACGAGTAAATGCACCCAGGAAAGAAGTACTGTTCTTGAGCAAGGTAACTGTGAGAGACCATCAGCTGCTTTCTGTATATTTCTGAACCAGCACTGAATACTGCAGTATTGTCATTGCCTGGTTTCAGGAAATCATCTCAGAAAGTTTGAAAAGCAAACAAACAGAAAGGGTGAGGAGTTACGTGGATGTCCAGTACTGAAAGTCATTAACAGCTGTGTTCTGCACTGGGTATTAGTCTGGAGTATTTTAGTGTGTCCAGTGATTCGCTTGGCAGTACCATGGGTATGCCATGCCTATTGTCCCCTGGGAGGATGTGAATATGGATTCTAGCTGCTGTATGCTCATTTTCCTGCCTAGGGGGATGCATTTTTGCCCATTAGGGCCTCAACCCTCAGACTTGTAACTGAGTCATTCCCTGTCAGCCATACCTTCTCATTTGTCATTGCATTAGTGGATCAGGTTTGACCTGTGCCCTTATGGGTTACTGCTATGTTCTTCCCCCCAGGTACAGTTGCATTTAGCTCACCAGCTTCTACCATAGAAGCTTTCAGTTAAATGGACCAAGCATTTTAATCAGTCTCCAAACTCCTGTGTTTTCACATTTACCCAAGCTGTCTTGATGAAGTCAGTTGCACAGTGCAGTTCTGCTGTAACTTGCTTGGTAAGATGCAGTGAACCTCAGTGTGCTTCTGTGGGAATTACTGGAACAAAACTCAAATGTAACACTACATAGAAGGGAATTATGTACATTTCTGCAAGTAATGCTGACCGTGGCACTGAGGACGGTGGATACTGGTTATCAAACACTGGCTACAGTATGTGGATTCCTTCTGGCTGGCAACTGAGCGCTGCTTTTTGGACAGGTGCTTGCTAATCTCTAGGAGCCAGTGGCTATTCTGCCATCTTCTTGCTTACCTCATCCTCCATTAATCTTGGGCAAGATTGTTCCTCCACTGTTGTGTTTCCTTGTTTTGGGTGTCTCACAGCCACAGTGAGCCACAGTAAGTCAGTTCCTTATCCACTGAGTGCTCCATCCATCACATCCATGTCTCTCCAATTTAGAGATGAGGATGCCATGTGAGACAGTGTCAGATGCTTTGCACAAGCTCAGATAGATGATGCCAGTTGCTCTTCCCTTATCCATTAACTCTGTAACTCCATCGTAGAAGGCCACCAAATTTTTCAGGCACAATTTACCCCTAGTGAAGCCATGTTGGCTGTCACTAATCGCTTCCTGATTTTCCATGTGCCCTAGCATAGTTTCCAGGAGGATCCGCTCCATGATCTTGCTGGGCACAGAGGTGACACTGACTGGCCTGTGGTTCCCCAGGTCTTAATTTTTTCCCTTTTTAATAATGGAGTTATGTTTCCCATTTTCTAGTCAGTGGGAACTTGCCATGACTTCTCAGATGTGATGGATAGTGGCACAGATCGTGACACAAATCATGTCTGTGGCTGCCAGCACAAGCCAGTCTTCTAACCTGTGCTTTATTGTTTCTTCTAGTCATCTTGCATGTAAACATTTCTGTTTTGTACTTTATTTATACCAGTCTATTTCTGTTAGAAATGTCTACACTTCACAAACACTGCAGTACCACTCCATCCTCTTTCAAAAATGCCCATGCTTGGAAGCTCGGGAGCATTGTGGCAAGGTCAGTGCTGCATCCACAGCACATGTGCCTGAGTTGGGTGCTTACAGGTGGCAGCTGCAGCTCCAACTTTCCCTGCCTAAGGAGGGCTTTACTTGCCAGTCCACATTTACCCCTGTGGACCTCATAGCCAGTGGGACAGAGGAAGATTAGTTACTCAACGAGTTCTGGTACATCTGTGAGCAGAACAGACCTCTGACCTGAAAGGGAGCATGAGAGGGTTGTAACCAATGTGCTTTTGGATGGAGAGCATGCAGATGCAAGGTACGCAGTGCTAATTTACCAAAGCACCTTGTGTCTCAATTTTAGGAAGGGATCTCCTTGCTGAAAATGAAATTTATTGAATGAATCTTAAGCGATATGAAGGTACATCTATTGCCAGGCAGTCTTGTTGGTAGTATAGGAGAGAAGTGAAAAGGGGAATTTCTTTTAAGTGGTATAATATGCGTGCAAAGATCAGGTGTAGTGGTAAGTTTTCAGAACACTGTGTCCTGTTTTGTGTGTAGTACAGCTTCGACTTTTTCCAGGCAAAATTTAGCAATTGTCAAAGATAAAAGCATTTATGAGACTAGTCCTTTCCCTCCATCTCTGCAAGAAAAATACCTCTTCAAGGTAATTTCAAGGCTCCTTTTCAAGCCTGAACTCAGACTTCCTTTTGTGAGAGCCTTTCTCTGCCTTCACACTTCTGGGCAGAACAGGCAGGGTCACTTGCATCCACTTCCACTTCCTTACTAACTTCCTCATGGATCTTTCCTTTAAACATGCCTTTGCAAATTTTAGCACTGCTATTATGCTGGTGTTGACTGCGACCTCTGAACAAGTTTAAGATGATATGTTGGTGGTGCCCTCTCATATGTAAGGTTTTATTTTGTACCTGTTTGTGTTACCTGCGTACATGTCAGACCAGCAAAGGCTCGTGTCTGGTCTCAGGTGAATGCCTTACGATACGCTGTCTGTACTGAATGGTTGACATCATCCTTTTCCCTGTGTGTTTCAGCGGAGGAGAAGGCTCGTGAGGCAGAGAGTAAAGCCCGTGCCCTTGAGCTGCGCCTCGGAGGGGATCTCACGCGGGAGTCCAGGGTGAGCCTTGTGCTTTGGCAGCACGTCACATTTGAGGCACTGGGGGACAGTTCAGAGCGCTGGCTCTGGGGCAGCGCTGGCCGGTCAGCACCCAGTGGTAGCACCTGGTCACGCAGCTGGCAACTTCAGTTGGCGGTGAGTCGCCAGCGCTGTTCAGGCAGCTCTGTGGTCTCGTCACCACCGGACTTTCTTCAACATCTACATGTGATCTCCAGCCCAAGTGGGAAGCATGCTGACGTTCCCCTGCCCACAATCTCCCCTTTATCCTGAGTGGGAAAGCAGCTCCTGGCCACAAGGCACTTTGTTTGATGTCAGCCTCTGCAGAAGAGGCCAGGGGAGTGCGAGGTATTTGAACAGAAGTGAAATTGGGTGCTTTTTGGCTGTTTCCCCCTGCCCCGCCTGTGCAGCTGGCTCCAAAGCATTTGGGCAGGGGCTTTTGGAGGAGCTGTTTGCTTCTTCCCAGTGGGGCTGTGGCTCTTGACAGGGGCAAGGCTGAGACCCAGCCTGCCGCTGGGTGAGAGGAGGGCTTGTGTGTTTGCCAGGTGAGTCAGCAAGTGACACCAGCTTAAAATCACTGTACTTCCTAGTGGCATCTAATGGAAACAACAGTATCCAAGAACCCTGGCTGTTTCTCTGTGGCTCCATTACCCTCTGATTTCAATTCCCTTAGACATTCAGATACATCTAGACATTTTCTTCCAAACAACTGTGTAGCTGCTTAAACAACCCAGCAGCAAGTGCTGCCCGAAATGTAAAGATGTGTTGATTGTCACTCTGCACTGTTCATGAATTCTTTACATTTAAAACATTTCTGAGGTATCCTTGAAGGGGGAAGAAAATCATAGAAGTGAGTTGATTTAATGAATTTCACAGCAGCAGTTTTACTGTGCGATGCCTGTTTGCAGGTGATGCTACGTCAAGTCCAGAACTCGGCGATAACCATGCGCCGGGAGGCTGATGTCAAGAAAAGGATCAAGGATGCAAAGCAGCGGTGAGTGCAAGGTGGTTCAGAGCTGTGATTTTCTCAAGCTGTTCACTCCATGTGCTCAGATGTCTCTCCTACTTTGCTTCTGTGGTAGAGGGAGCAGTTCAGCACAAAGTTTAAATATCTGTGAGTGTCCTGTATGCCCTGGCTGTTAAACCAAGGGGACTGAGTTTGTTAGTCTGGTTGCTTCTGCTATTCCCTGCTTACTTGCTGCTGATAGACATATTTAGATTTGACTTGTCTTCTGTAGATGTTTCCCTGGTTCTCACATCAGCTGTTTTCACTCTTTCGCTTTTTCATCTGCAGGTAAGATTCAGGAAGGCAAACAAATGTTAGCAAGTTACAGTGAAATGTCTTTTAGAGTTGTAGATGTTTTCTAAAAACTTGATGAGTTCTGTTATAGTCAGTGGTATGAAATCCCAAGACATTGTTCTAACTTACCTCCGGTTGCAGTTCACTTTGCTAATGATATACTCACAGGAATATTTCACTCTTCATGTATAGTTTTTTTGAAAATTTGTCATATGCATTTCATAAATGAAGTCGTAACCAGAAACCAATGCTCTTAAAACAAATGCAGAGTCTGAGAAAGTTAGGGATTTATATATACCAAGTCTTCGTTCCCACCTAGTTGTTTTGCATGCTAGTTTACATGGCTGCTTAGGTCAGATCTATATCAGACTTGTTGCCAGAGATAGATCTAACGCATCTTAAGATGCTATAAATAAAGAAATAAATAGAGCTTTAATTTTAAAGTGCTCAACCTGTGATCTGAAGAATGCAGAAACTCTTGGGAGAAGCCGTTTTCTTCAGCTTCCATGAACAGCTTGTCTTTTAATTATTGGTTTTGATTACATTAGTGCACAAAGTAAAATTTTGTGAATGGTCTTCTGGCCTTCCTGGCAATGGGCAAAATACTTTTGCTTTTTAAAAAGCTGAACAACAAGCAAAGAACTTGGACAATACAAGTTTGTTTGAAAATGGCTTCTTCATGTTCTTTATTGATGAGTTGGAAATGAGATATTCCAAGTTTTCTTCAGCAGTTCTTTCTGCTTGAATCTGAGAAGGTTTGTAGGCCACAAAATGGAAACCAGCTGGTTTGGAAGAATACCTCAACTGTAGAGATGTCAAAAGGTTATCTCTAGTCAGGTTTGAAATATGTGATGACAAGGAAAATATATGTATGTGACAGCTAACCAACAGCAGAGGAAAAGGCCTTTTGTCTAGATTTCTGTACCAACTTGGCCATGTGTTCTTCCAGGCGAGAGCTGCTGGGTGCTCTGCCAGCTCTGTCCAGGCACATGACGTTCCCTGTGTCCCTCCATTCATCACCAGTGATCAGAGACAGTTCAGTGGGTCAGGCTTTTCCATACTTTTGTACTTTATCCAGAAAACAGAAGAAATTCCTGAAAAAATGTGTATATGATATGAAACCTTCTTGATTGAAAGAATTTCTGTAGCCTCTCAGAAAACTGTTGAGTTATAGAGAATGTCTTAGGACAGTTTTCTGCTCTTTCTCTGGTGCTGGCTGCATCAATGAAAGAAATGCTTTCTGGTTTTCAAAGCCTGTGTACAGTCAGGTTATAAATCCAGCAGATAGGGCAGATAATAAAGTCCTGGGCTTTTGGCCCACCCCTTAATTTTAAATGGTTTGGATGATAATTTGTCTTCCTGTCCTCTCTGATAAAAATGAGATGCCCTTCCTGTTTTGTAGGTGAATGCATGTTGTTACTTGAAATTTAAGGGTCTACGTCTGTTTCCAGAAGTTAGAAAAAGAAAATCCCTGTGGTGGGTGTTTTGCCACACCTACTCATGCTCTCAAATCACAGTTGTCCACCTGGATGAGCTGAGACCAAAAGGGTAACATTCTAGCCCAGTTTCTATGCTGGAAATATTCAAAACACCTCTTGGCAAAGGTTTAGGTTTAAAATTACTGAAAGCTGCTGTTCCAGGTATTTTCCTAGTAACTTATTTTATATTCGTCTGTTTTAAAGGAACATGTGTTACAGGGTACCTATACATCTGTGTAGGGAAGAGGATGGCTTTAAACAGAAAATTAACAATCCATTTCAGGGATTTATTTTGAGATGTTTGACCATTAAGATACAATATGTAAGTCTGTCTGTAGATTATTATTGTTAAGTGCTCATGCATGCACAGCTCAAGTTCCTTTAATATCTGATATTAGTAGAGAGTCAACAGATCATTTTAAAGTATTCACTGTCTTCAACTAACCACTTAAGAAGTTAAGTTCCTAATTGAGATAAAACACATACGTGCTAAGAATTTAATGGGAGTGGGGGAGAAATAAGGGAAGTCAGAAATTAGGCGGGTGGGTAGGACAGTGGTATAGACTATGCCTTGCAATAGTTAAAAGTTTGGACCTCACATTTGATGATATCTTCAGCCTGAAACAGGATCCTCATTATGAAAAATCCTCAGCATGGATTTCATGGAAGTTGTGGAAACTACTTAATTACTTAATTTAGTCTGTTAAAGAGCAATAGCTCTGTTTGTGAGGCATGGGGATTTTGTTTGATTTATAACACAGAGAGATCTAAATTTCTTGAGGCTTTCTACATTGCAGTAGATAAAATTCATGATAATCAAAGATTCAGATTCAGAAATCCCTATGTGCTCATAAACATACTTGAGGCAAGCTTTTGTTGAAGTCATCTGCTGCATAGATAAAGCAGAAATTGTGCAAATTGCTATCCTGTCATTTCCAGAAGAAAAAGCTCTGCTTGGGCCGTATATCTTCCAGCTTTTGAACTTAGAGTAATAGCAATGTAAAACTTGTAATTACAAGAACTTTCCCAGAATTGGAATATCAAAACTGTAGTTTTCTATCAAAATCTTAATTTTCATGCTTGATCTAGCATAGAGATCTACATCTGGAAAATACAAACCAAAATAGCATTGGAGAGGACCAGTCTGTACCTAACAATGCTTTCATAAAACTAGTTAACTGTAATTTTTTTTGAACAAGCATATCTGAAGTAAAAGCCAGAATCCATTCCTGAAGAAGAACACATATCCAAATGAGTAACTAAATTATCTGAACAGATACTGTCCAGCCTAAACTGGTGTCTGTAACAAAGTTTTTTATTTAGTTCATGTTTAATTGTCATGCACCTTCAACAAACGCTTCATGTTTTTTAGAAATAACAGACTACAGGACAGGTGTTAGTAAACCCATAATGTTCAATGGTGCTGGATTTCCATACCCTCTGTCTAATGACAGTGAATACTTAGTTCTATTTTCAACATCTCTGAGACTGTTTCATTATCTTACAGGGCACTGAAGGAACCCAAAGAACTAAATTTTATCTTTGGTGTTAATATTGAGCAGCGAGAATTGGATGGCATGTTCATTTATAACTGCAGTCGACTGATAAAGATGTATGAGAAGGTGGGCCCACAGCTGGAGGGTGGCATGTGAGTTCCTGGAGATCTCTCAGCAATCTTTTTGCTTAAGTCTGGCATGTTCCTACATGTAACTTAGGCTGTGCAATAACCTTATTCTGAATTAATCATTCTTCATGAGCGTGAGGCTTACTCATTTTTTCAGCCTTTAGTTTGGATTCTGACAAATAAATTATGTTTAATATTACCAAATATTTCCCCGGTTTCTTGACAGAGACTTCTCTCTACAGAGATTTTGGTTATACCTGCAGCAGTATAAGGCTTTTGTGCTCATTGCTGGCATTTGGGGCTGATGTATACTGGTAGCAATACTGCCTCATTCTAGGAACAGGGAGAATAGGTCTTGAAAAAAAAAAAAAAAGAGATATTTGAGTTCATCTTGCTTTTTGCATACTGGCTCAAGTCTGATTTAGAAAGCTGATAAATTAAAATTAGTACTGCTGCAGGAATGGGTGGGTGATTGAGTGTAACCTGCTATCTTCAATATTGTTTCTCTGAACAATGACCTAGGAGTGACTGTGTGTCCCTCTTCCAGGGCATGTGGTGGAGTGGTAGGCGTGGTGGATGTGCCCTATTTGGTCCTGGAGCCAACCCATAATAAACAAGACTTTGCTGATGCCAAAGAGTATCGACACTTGCTAAAGGCCATGGGAGAACATTTGGCTCAGTATTGGAAGGATGTTGCTATAGGTAATGAAGCTGCACAATTACCAGGGCCTGGAAGAGGAAACTTTGGTGGCTGCAAGGCAGCTAAGGGGGGGGGGAGGGCAGCCAAGAATGCAGGTGCATATTGAGCAGGGGCTTGTTTGTCTTCCAGCCCAGAGAGGCATCATCAAGTTCTGGGATGAATTTGGTTATTTGTCAGCAAACTGGAACCAGCCTCCATCTAGTGAACTGCGCTACAAACGCCGGAGAGCCATGGAGATCCCTACCACAATTCAGTGTGGTGCGTCTGACCAGGCTGTGATTAGGATGCTGGTCCTCCCTGGGGAAGGGGGGGAGGGACTCCTGGCTGCTGTTGGGGAACAGCTAAATGGGTAGGAGATTTGAGATGAGCTTCACTATTGTTATCCCTTTCTAGAGCTTGTCTCCCTCTGTGAGTTGTCTTTGTCTGCACTTGATGGTGCACTTAGACATCTTGGTGTAAGGTTCCTTTCCTGCACGGTTTAAACTGTGATTTCTTCAGGTGCCCTTACAGAACACTCAGATGTGGCCAGTAGCAGTGTAGAGAATAGACTTAAAAATACCATATGAACAGTAACTGCCCAAAGCCTCCCATCCCAATGCTAGAATAAGATCTGAAACTTTCCCGTAGGCACTGAAAAGTGGCCAAGTAATTTGTATCCTGATGCACTGTCCTGCTAATTGATACTTGGTGGGAGCACAGAAGGGAACTTTTACAGTTGGCTTTCAAATTTAATGCAAATTCTCTTCTGTATACCTCTAAACAGGTCTGGCTAAGCCCTTACTAGGGTAAGGGGAATCTCAACATAACCACTTTGTTTCTTAGTAGAGGGATTCCAAACTCTCTTGACCTAATTTTCCCCACAGGACTTAGGGATAAGGATGTTGCAAGGAATGTGAGGCCAGTCTTGTGGAATTATTTTGTTAGGCTCTCATGCCTTGACAGTTTTCTCAGTCCTTTCCAAGTTCCTCCCAAAGAGGAGGGGCTTTCCTGTCATTCTTCTTGTCCTCTGATCTAAGGAAGTTTGTATTTTTGTGGCAAAACTTGATTTTTTTTACAAATTTTTATTTATTATTATTAGCTGTTGGTCTCCTGGTAGGCCAGCAATGCTCTGGAAACCAAATCTGTCTTCTGGTTGATCTAAAATTTACTAGATTATTACAAAGTTGGGTTTTTTTTTTTTTTTTTTTAGTGGATAAGTCTCTGACTTGTTCTGTGTTGATATCAGTAAGAAACAGCCTGACTTCTGAGATGAGCAGTGATTTCAAGACTGGCTCTCCAGTTTGATTTGTATGTGCTGTCGTTTCAGCAGTGAGTGTGAAATCCTCTAGTATTGATTGATCCCAGGCTTCATCAGATTATTGTTATGGATGCCTTGTACAAGATTTGAGGTCTTCCTCCAAGCATTTTGTGAGCACAAAGCAAATGTGTTCAGTGTATCCTGTGGCTGTCTCATTTTGGGTTTTTTTTGGCCCCTAGTCTTATTGTCATTGGATACACTTTGGAAAGTGGTGTGGTCCTTGGGTGTTAAATGGGCTTGAGAATTGCTATGGAAAAAGGTGATTTTGTGGCTCAGGCTGTATATTTCTGACATGCAAAGTATTTGTTGAACAGATATATGTCTGAAGTGGCGGACTCTCCCATTCCAGCTGAGTTCAGTGGAGAAGAACTACCCTGATAGCTGGATATGCTCTATGAACCCTGATCCTGAACAAGACAGGTAAGAATTGATTAATATAAAGAAGTTTCTGCAGTGTGCCTTATCTGCACATGTTTGGTTTTTTTTTCTGGTCATCTGTTCTTTGAGAACAGTTGGAGGGGTAGGCAGTCATTCTGTACCTTTAAGCTGTGCTCACAGTCTATAAAAAAGTAGTGATGATGTATGTGTTTGGAGCTGATGTGTTGGTTGGCATTTGTGCAACGTGCATATTGCAGAATACACCCTCAGCAAGTTTGTAGATGATACCAAACTGGGAGGAGTGGCTGGTATGCCAGAGAGTCATGCATCCACCCAGAGGGACCTGAACAGGCTGGAGAAATGGGGCAACAGGAACCTCATGAGGTTCAACCAGGAGACGTGCAGAGTCCTGCCTCTGGGGAGGAACGGCCCCGGGCGCCCGTGTATGCTATTCCACATAGAGTAGAGAAGGCTCGGGGATATCACGAATGTGTATAAATACCTGAAGGCAGGCTGCAAAGAGGACAGAGCCTGGCTCTTCTCAGTGGTGCCCACTGGCACGACCAGAGTCCATGGGCACAAGCCAGACCACGGGAGGTTCCCTCTGCACATCAAGAAACCCTTTTTCCCTGTGAGGGTGACTGAGCCCTGGCTCAGGTTGCCCAGTGCAGTCTGCATCCTTGAAGATATTCCATGATATGGTCTTGGGCAACCAGTTCCAAGTAGACCTGCCTGAGCAGAGGGTTGGACCAGATGACCTCCAGAGTCCACTCCAACCTCAACCAGTGATTTGGGGAAATGAAGTTCCTTTATGGTTTTTCTGCACTGTCGCTGGAAATAGGATTGTAGCCGTAGTTTATGCATTTTAGTGTTAATGTAGGTAGCATAGGCAGCAATTGAAGAGTAGTCATAAGAGCAGGCTGGGAGCAATATGTGTTCAGTGGGGTCTTTGCAGTTGTCTCTATTGCTACTATATCTCCAACCCATTAGATACGGAAACAGCAGCAACATCTCTGAGTTGCAGTGAGCCCAAGAATGACATTTTGCACACTTGAGGAAGCAACACATCGACTCATTTCCCAGCGGTGTGTTTCACAGTTATAAAATTTAGTCATTTAGTTGAATGAGGAAAATGATTGCTCTGGGCTGCTGCTTCTCTGTGGAGAGAGACACTGATAGAATCTGATTCTTGTCTTTATTGTATAACAAGGGAAGCTGCTCAGCTGTAATTCAGGTGCCCTGGCTCAGTGCTTAAAGACAAAGGGAATGAATCCAGGTGGTAACTTTTAATTGGAATAAAAATTGTAACATCTATGGCTGAAAAGGCTACAAAGAAGTTCTGATGTTGATAGTTGGAAAATGTTGGTTTTCTGGCTTCTTCCTTTTGGCACCTGTCATTGGAAGAATACCAATGCTAACTTCTGTGTTGCTGCATGTATTTGTGCCCTGGTGTGGAACTATGGAGAGTGCGGTTGTGCTGAGCGTGTCCTCTGACTAAACTGCTGGGACAGGGCTGAATCAGCAAACCTGAGAAGAGGCTGCCACACCTCCAGCCCCCCAGGTGGAAGCGGTAGTGAGGCTAGGAATGTGTTGCTGGTAAACAGCGCCGCCCCCCCCCCCCCCCCCCCTGCGTACACATCCAGCCATGCAGATCAACAGGCAGACACACACAGCACTCATGCAAACCGCACCAGCAGCCTCATCCTTTTCCCTCTCAGCTGTTCGGGTTGAAGGACCACTAGTGGAAATACGTCTGTATCTGGCCCCTGGTTCCCATCCCCCTGGTTGCTTACACTGGGATAGATGAGCCCTGAGGCGTGCAGTGCCACAGGGTGAGAGGTGCAGACCTCCTCACATGGACACAGATAACACATGCACACTACAGACCTGCCAGTGTCTCACCTTGGATGTGCTCTCCATCTCATAGAGGATCTGGATCCTTGCTCTTCCCAGGTGCATCCTGCCTAGAGGCACTCACAGCTCTGCCTACACCCCCATACCTGTCTCCAGCAGTTGGGCAGGACGCCCCAGTCCCTCCCGTAGTCAGCTCCTGCAGGCTTGCCCTTAGACACCCCCTCCCCTTGCTCCCAGGCCACCTCCTCATTGGCTTGCTTGGCCCAACGTTTGCTGTGAATCACACATTCACATGCATGCCTGCAGTCACTGCAGCTGGTGACATGCAGGCAGAAAGGTCCCTGTGACTGGTGGTCCCACTCCAGCTGCTGGTACTCAGACCTCCATACATACATGTGCACACAGTATAAAGCCCCTGGCTCAGGAGGATCGTTAGAAATGGAGTTTAGTACAAAGACAAGCATACTGTTATAAATTGAGACCACAATGGATCATAATCCAATTATAATTTTATTAATTATAGCAAGTAGAATATGAGCAAAGACAGCGCTGGACGACAGGGGAGTCTGCGCTCCGCCAACTGCCGTACTGATCAGTTCAAACAGTTCCTTTTTATACATTTTTACATTCGTGGTTGTCTTTGATCAGTACCCCTTCTGCTTGCACAAGTATCTGGTTTGTGTAAGCAATTGCGGTTATCTTGTCTCACGCGGTCATCTTGTCTCACAGGTTATCTTGTCTCACACAAGCGGTGTCTGGCAGCTATTTGCATAAGCAGTTTTTCTGTCTTTTGCCGCCTAACCTTTACATTGAGCTTAACATAAATTTCAATAAACAATACCCTTAGTTCATAGTTTCTTACAATCCCCCCTTTTTCTTTTATCCTATTATTGTTTATTAGATGCTACTTTCATTTTCGTCACTGCAAACAAACCTTTTTCCACAATTCCAACATTTATCATAACACTCTCAAGATAATACCTTACAATTACAATCATAGTTTTCACGTGGCATAACGCATTCACAACAATCTTTTCCACCAGGAAGCTCCTAATAGATCATCCCACCATTCTGAGTCTAACATTGAGGGTGTTTTCAGAGCACCATAGGTAAAACAGCTCTTATTCTATCTGCTATGTGCAGTTGTCGCCTTAATGTTTTTGCCGTGTGTTATTTATTCCTTGCTTTGTTCAGTTAATCCAACATGTTGTGACCAACATGCAATTTGCTACTACTGTTTCACCTGTTGGTGTTAAGCAAATTCGAGCTGTGTGCCGAACTGCACAGTCAACCGTACTATCAGACACTCTGTAAACAATAATCAACAATTTATTAGCAAACAAGAACCTGAAATAATTAACTGTATAACAATCCAGCAAAGTCCCACGCGACACAATCAGAAAGAGAAAAAGTAAGAACCAAAGATATCAGCACTGTCCTTTGGATGTTGTCCTTCGATGTCTTGTTACCCTTACTCACGGGGGCGATAGCGATAGAAAGACAGAAAGAGTCCAAGAACAACAGTCACATGCCGCGTGGTAACTCCTCTGATCAATAACATTTTCTTCTTTGAACTATAAGTCTGTTTCCATCACCTCATCAAGGTTTCGAGGGCGTCTTAGTTGTCTTCGTGATCTTGGAGGATTGGGGGGAGGAGGTGATCTCCGACACCAGCCACGAGACATTCCCTCGCATACCGCGATGGCAACGACAGTCACCACCAATATAATGAAAAATCCCCACAGCAGGCCGGCGCACACGGGATCGTCCCCTACTCCCATCTTCCCAAGATTGCAATCCAGCGGGATCAGTAAGAATAGTGGGATAGTCCAGCCCCAGGCTAGCGGCTTGACCGAGGAAGGTCCAAGTGCGCAATGAGCGGAAGTTTCTCTTCCACCCAGAATGCCTGTGCTGCCTAGATCTGGGCGGGCCTGGCAGGTGTTTTTGCCATCCGGGTATAGCCGAACTTTCGAGACCCTCCAGCAACACATGCGCTTTGGGCTGGGGGCGTGGAAATCCATTTTCCTGCTGCGTATGTGGACCCTGACTCCTGATCCCTACAGACCAGGCAGGTTCGCCACTCGCGCTCTCACTCTTGTACCTCCGATACCGCGAAAACAATGGAGCGTGCTTATGCATGGGCAGCAATTTATTGTGCAGCCTTGATGTTGGTAGCCCTCACTTTGTTTGCCTTTTTACTACATATCTTTTGCCCTTGTAAATGTTCCTCTTTCAAGTACCCATGTAGTTGTATCTGCTTATGTAAACCACCATCTCCTTTGGTTAACCATGTTGAAAATTCTGTTATAGGTCTTTTCGGCAGTTTTGGTACTGGCTGTTTTACTTCTGTCACATCTTTTACTTGGATTCTCTTCTTCCCACTAAAATATCTCCATCCACCCTTCTGTCTTTGGGAAAGCAAAGCCACTCTGATGTTGGACATAACAGTAAAGCACTTGCTGCACAAATTTGCCACTATTAAAGCAAACCATACCAGGATGATTAGTAGAGGTCCGGTATAACATATACTCCCACCTCTCATGCCTATGGGGTTGCAGCCCACAGCTGAGAAAAAGGTCTTCTTGGTGGCGAGCACAGAGGTTAACCCGGTCTTGCCCTCTACTGTTTAACAAATCCGTGTGTTAAGAGTTAGTCAATTCAAGTGCAGCTCCTTTGTAGCCACTTCCTTTGTTTCTAAGCAAAGCAAAATTTTGGCACTTTCCGATAGTGTCCTCCCATCAACTCTCAGGGACATCACAAATTCTGGGGACTAACCTCTTTTTCCCCGTAAATCAAGGTTACAGTTCATGGCCCTTCCCTATACAGTTATAAGACAATTTTCTCCATCTGCAAGAAATACCACATCCGGTAACACATTTCACATTCACACAAAACCCACGCTTCATGACATCCATACATACACTCGAGACAAGGTATTACCCAATTAGGTTGATTTTCTAGCAATGCCTAATTGAATCCAAAATGCTTATAATCTGTTACCAAAAGCCACTCTGTAACATGTCTGTCAGTTAATGCTCGGTAAACGCCAGCTTTTCCCTGACAGTTTTTTGTTTGTTTGTTTGTTTTTTTGTTTTTGTTTCCTTATACAGCAAGTAAGCAAATGAATAAGTAAATTTTCACAGTGTTACCTCTGAACCCAGTTAAAAACCCAGTCAAACCACTGGTTA